AGATGTAAACAATTTAGTATTCCTGATCTTATTTTAGCCATATTGTTAATACAAAACGCAGCTTGGAATACAATGTTCCTTATCTTATCCTATGCAAACTTTTGCAATCTTTTGTTTGTTTAATAGATAATAAGATTATATTCATTTTTCCTATATTGATAAAATCGGGAGTGAAATATATGTTCATATCTATTTTATATCACCTACGTCGCCGCGTCACTGCTAATCGATAATTTGCAAAAACACTTATCTTCCTACTATTGTTTGTATGACTATGTGTACTTTGGTTTGTGTCATTTTGTTTTCTAGTGATAAATGTATTGTTGTAGCATTTCGAATGGTAATATTAAACATAAATAAATGCTGCATCAAAAAATAAAATATGAAACTAAAAATCAATTAGACTATACATAATATGTCATATTATTATCAGTGGATGTCCCCTGTCCCCCTCGTCAAAGCGTGATCTAAATCTTATCTGTATTATGTTGTAGACTTTGACGAAATGATTCAGCTAAATCATTTCTAGTACTAGTTTTCCTCAATTACTACAATTTTGTACCTACTGTAGTCGAACGCATGCGATACATTACGCCAATCATCATGACGTCATGCAGTATTTTTTTTACTTTATGCTATTTTTTTTCTTGATACAGCTGACTGTGAAAAACTTTAAAATGCCATAGGCCATTTATTGTACCTTGGACTCGGCCTTGAGTTTATACGTATTAAACACAGTTCTAGAAGATCTTATTGTTGTTTTATCAATCACTCGGCTAAAGAATGATGAGTAACACTGTAACACCAGCTAAGTTTTTTTGCTTGTCTATCGTGTTTTCTAATGAATGCATGCATGTACGAGTATAAGGAATTTGCGTGTCGATCAACACTAAACCCGTTACCTACTTAGACATTTTTTTGCTTAAATAGCTACTACTTATAGTATTTCTAAAGGAATGTGTTTATTATATATATTTATGTCTTGAATATTGATGATTTAAAACTAAATAAGTACATAAGTAGACGCTTAAACTATCCTCATTCATACGAGTTAACCGTCATTTTTGAGATATGCATTATCGCTGTGGTCGATGACGAAAAAATACCCGATAACTTATCAAACAAATCTAACTCGAGTCCATGTGGTTGTCAAGGGATCACGACCAATCAAATGGAGTTTCAATATCCGAGTTGTTCATACTAAGAATTGAAATGTATTTTTAGTATCAAGAAAAATATTGATTTAACTGGTGGCTATTAACTGGTAAAAAACTCGTCGACTCTTACACATTTCAGGATAAAGTTAGCAAAAACCTAATTATGAATGAGCTTATTTGTATTACAAACAAACAAATACCTTTAATGATAACGCTACAAAATATGTAAAAAGTGTAGGCTGTATGTTGTGTCCAAATAGTATAGTAAATGAAATTACGACGCAACAACCAATAGATGTATAATGACTACGTAGAGCAATGGAAACCATTGACGTCATCCACGCACACGAGGGTACTGCATGTCTTACATTAACTCTTATAGCCGTGTAAATAGATGTGAAAATTGCTTGTAACAATAGCAAATATAGAATCTAAAGCACGTACTAACCACCCTACTATGTCCCAACAGTTGATTGCATTGACTTTCAACATGAACAAGACATGATTGCGCAAACTTTTGAAATGCTAGCTTGTAGCTAGGTGACTGTCAGCTCCAAAAATAAACTTAATGCTATAAACATGGCGAGTGTTAAGATAGTAAATAAAAAAATATTTACATAAACTAAACATTATGCCTTTGTATGTCGTTAGGTTGAGTAGTGATTCACATAATTTAATTAATGACTTTGCAATTTTTATGTTTTGGCAGTACCTCATATATGGATTGCTGCTATTGGCATATTTATTTTTTCGGGTTAATGACCAGCTATCTCTGTATATGAGTCTGCATCTGTATCCATATGGGAAACCCCGGAAGAAAGGGGTGAAGTCTGAAGTTTTAGTTTATAATTCTGGCAAACACATAACACTTTTACATACCCCATCAGGGTAGAACAGCAGCAGAATTAATTCATGTTGCACTTCTATTTTATAATTCCTACCAGTCAAGTTAGAAGTTAGTCTTCCTCTGTATTGTTTATGATATAATAAATACGAAAAAAATGTGTAACAAATTACATAGCAGTAACTTATATCAATTATCTATTTATATTTAAATTAATCACAAAATGTGCTGGTAAATGCTGCCTGGACCAATTTTGCCAATATACCTCGGTGCTTGCTGTTGGAAGGAGGATCTTATGAAAGAAAATTTTAGAGTAGAGGTGTAAACTGGGGAATATCTATGTTTCCTTCCTAAGAGGTACTGGAAATCCATGCAAAGCAGGGGAAGACCTCTAGTAATTAATAAATTCAATTCCGCTTATCAAAAGCTGCCCTACAGAAATTGTTATTCATATGTATTGCAATAAGCCAATGTGCTCAAATAACAATCTCTCTGAAAAGGAAAGATATCAGGGACTTTTAACAAAGCAACTTAAAAAATAAATTTTTATATAAACAATGATAGTCAGGTCAAATTAATGATATGTAATTAAATTGTTATAAATATCTGTATTTATAAAGTTAATACGTAAAAAAGATGGAAGAAGTAATACACACTTCCTTCTTATGTAAGTTTATTCATTATTGAATGATTTAGACAAATCTTTTTATCAGTTTTATTTTGTTTTCAAGAATAAGTTAAGCTTATCTCGAACGCTGATTATAAAAATAAAACACCTAAATCTAAATGTTTACATGATTTTCTGCTGTCATCAAACATAAAAAGCAAATATTGTAACATCAAATTACCCCTGTAGGCTCAGTGAGTAACTGAGTCATCTCAGGAGAGTATTAAAATTACAAGTCATTACCATTCAGCATAATACTATGTACTGAAAATATCTTAGTCATTAGCTAAACATGATTTATGACAACTTGAATCTTTTACAAACAACTATTAGTTAGTTTTATTTAATTATGTACCAATTTTAGATTAACCTCTTTACTATAAAAAATAAAGGCAACTTAAAATCAATGAGTACCTAGTTGGCCGGGAATGAACATACATTAAACACTACCTAGATGATACCACAAAAACAAATAAAAATAGTATCTGTAATATACTGTCAAATGTTTAAAGGTTTCATAAATTATTATGATAACAATTTGGAAAAAGCATATAGGTTGTGCCTCCATATTACACCAGTAATCTAAGTCACAATAAATGAAGAGTACTTTACAATCTTTGATGATTTTCTAACAATTTAACTATGTAAAAGAATAGTAGTGTGTTAGTTTTAGTTTTTTTTTTTGAAGAAATTATACTCGTTTGATACAGGACTTTACCTCAGACAGAACCAGGGAGTACCTAATGCACTGATATACATTTTTATTTCTTTACAACCAGATCCAAATATAGAACACAGCTAGCGTTGTATATACCATTTTACTTAAAGCAAAGAGTGTAATAATATAAAGGGTTCTTTAAAAACAGCTATTTTACAGAAACATAGTGTATTAACTGTTTGTTTGAATTTGGAAATCTTTATTTAAAAACATGTTTGTCAACAAACATCTAGCATGTGTCACATGGTAGTTTTAGATACTAGATACTGTTTATGATTTTAGTTACTATTGATGATCCCCACTGAAAATAAAATACCACATTACTAGCTTACAAAGCATGATTGCTTGAGGTTGCTTTAAATACACAGTTAATTACATTGATTTCTCTTTCATATCCAGATCAATAACTAATCATGGGGCCGGATAACTCAAGTGTAAATAATGATACATTAAAATAACTTATTACTAAAATGAACAAGACCTAAATACACACGTTACTAAGGCAACATTTACCACAATATTACTTTGCAAATTGAAAATTAAGATTAGGATTGACACCTAAATAATCAGTGTACCCAATTGTTAAAAACTATGTTGTGGACATATACTTTATGTAGTATGTGCAACAAGTTAAGCTAAATCTAATGTCTAAGCGTCGTATACTCTTAGGAATGTCGTAATAATAGATCTCCCGCGCAACTAAGTATCGGTGAAAGCTGGCTGACCACTCAAATAAACTATGTGTGTCAATGAAAGAAGTTACTAACACTATAATAAACAAACAGCTGCGTTAGTTATTTACTGTCAAATATTGAACTTTTGTACCGCTGGAATCATGTTAACTGGTTGGAATGCAACAGTATGGCAAAATGAAAACCTCATTGTTAAACTTAATTTAAATTAAATAATAAACTCGTACTTACAACATTATTATATTTCGTGTGAAGGCACACGCAGGTGTGCAAACTTTAGGCACTAGTAACCCATCTTGAACGCAATTATAGCAGAGGGAAAACAATTAAACACGTCTACTAGTCTTGAGCCATTGATGAGTAATAGAGAGAGAAAGAGGGGCAGAGGGGCTCAGCGGGAGGAGGCGAGCACGCCTCAGAGTTGCCAATGAAAAAAATTGTTTTACTTTAATCAGCAGCGCCCTCTCAGTACTTCTCAAAAATGACGCAATAGATGCTTTTCATTGCACAATCTTTCAAGACCATAAGCTAGTTTTCAAGACTCCTTAACCAAAAAAAGAAACCTAGAAATGTGACTTTGAGTACCTAATTTAAAAGTTTGAGAGCCAATAAAAGATCTTAGTATGATGAAATTGTTGGCAGATTCTTTAATTCATTTTCCCAATTCCTTTATTTTTGAAATCAGTATTATTCGTTGCAGTATCTAATAAAGGTATTTATTGTACGGATAGTAGACTCTTGCTGAACCAAAAGACGAAAATCGCAAATGAGATTCAGTGTAAAAATATAAAATCTAAATTTTTATTTTTTGTTTTGAATTACCTAGCAGCGAACTTGGCGGGAAATTAGTTACTTACTTTCAAATTTAATTTCAAGAACCTAAAACGGAAAAACATAAATGATAATCAAATCATGAACACAAATATTTAATATGTGCATTTTATTTCTCAATACAATAAAAAATTATGAAAACTTCATGCTGTAACATTCCAGATTTGCTAAGTTTATTAAGGCCACAGTCATTGAATCACAAAAGTTTGGTACACACACAAGCCTAGTGCGCTGGCCATTCTCTCCTGTAAATAAAATAAGTTTTAGTTCAGCTGATGAGTTTACAAATACTAATTTTGTAATTTGAAAGTTAACAATCGCTTTACCTTCATATAGATCAGTAGCAAATTCTGGACAATTGCCACAGAAGTAAATAGCTGGACAGTTGTATATAATAAAAGGGTCAGTTTCCGTGCAAGGTGTACATGGTATTGTGTCTGGGCAAGTTGGTGCAATGTTCCTCCATAGCAGTGTTTTCTTCATTACTTCTAAAGTATTGTCAAGCTTGCTATACCTCATAATATCTTTTATTGGTTCCCCTGAAGTACCCAAACATGTGAAGCCTAAAAAAAGCATAAACATTTTTTTTTAATATAGGTATTAAAAACAATGAACTGTGTTATTTTTTATAATATATATTCGTTTTTATTATACTCACCTCCAATATAACATTCATAAGGATTAGTTACTCGATTGAAGGATTTGTATTCAACAGCTTTAGGGAACAAACCTGCATAAATAATAAAATTATATATATTTATGTTTTGTCAAAGTAAAGAAGAAGAATCAATTAATAAAATAAATCAAACTAACAATAATGAAAAGGTTTTTGTGGCAACATTATTCCAGTTGGATCCTTGCTACTGGGCATGAGGTCTAGAGGTGCCACTGCACTCAAAGTTGCTGCTAAAGAGTCCATTAACTCTACTGCAGCAATAAAATCAGACTCATTTTCTGTACTTTCGTTTGTCTGGCTTGCTAACATTCCACCTGAAAAAAATTAAAATTGGAATGACACATAATTTAAATGGAGAGAATTGAAAGTGGATAAAAAATAAGACTTAAAACAATCAAAAGAATTATTAATTGAATTTGCAGATAATCTTGATAGGTACTTGTTAAAAAAACAATTCACCTGCAACAATAACCCTGACAATTTTTGAAACTTCCTCTTGATATTCAGATGTACCAGATAAACCAGACAACCACTCCATCAACAGATGCAATGAGAAGATATGCTCAGCTGTCTTCGATGTGTTTAAACCGGAAATGAGAACTATGTATCTGTAAAAAGAATAATTTGGTACAGTAAGACACAAGCATAGTGTACACATTATGTTTAAGAAAAAATATTTATATTACTTGTCCGAACTCAATTTTGGTAATGGTTTCTGTATACCACAACCGGCCCAGCAAACATCTTGGACTGTGAATATTCCATCTTCATCCTCAGATCCTAAAAATCATTATTTGTTTACATCATAAATAGCAAAGAAGCTATCAATAAATAACTATTTTTGAAGGATGAATAGTTCATACTAATATGATTGGATACATAATAAGTAAGATTAAGATGAAATTTATATTACCAACATACCTAACAAAGCACAGACCACACCAGTCACAACACTGTGGACATCAATACACTCGCCAACCAGTTTTATTCTTTGAAGCTCATCTTCTAATACTAGACTATCAGTATCATGTACAAAATGCGTTCTGAAATAAGCATTAATTAATACATAACACAATAATTTTATAGTGTATCTATTTTGCATTCTAACTAAGAATCTTTTATTAAACTGACCTGGGAGCTTGTGGTATAATCTCCAATTGATCAGATAACTCTTTCAGGATACTAGGTTTCAGTTCTTGAAACTTAAAAAGGGTTCCGATTATTACACATGTTGTACCTTTATCACGAAGTTCACACAACTTCAAAATCTTATGACGATCCGACCACTTCTTTCGAACTATTGGAGTCAAGATATTTCTGAAAGTATTTAGTCTAGCCGAATATATATGAGCATATTGTTTCGAAAAGTCTCTGGCAACTTCTTGAAACCGCTTTGAACAATCCGTATAGTCTATTTCTTGCCTTTCTAGTTCACAAGCCTGGAATGTGTTTTTGGCTTTTGTAGACCCACTCGATTCCGCTTTGAATAACATGATTCCGAATCGTTTTTCAGAATATGAATTGATTGACGATTTATATCACTTAAATTTTTATATTTTGCGTTGTATACCGCAATTTTACTTGTAACTACTTGATTATCATTGAAAATATTCAAAGTTACTATATTATTCGTAGGATTGATTTCGTTTTCCTTTTGGCGGTTTCTTTCATTGACATAGGAAATATATGGACTTGAAATACCTACGAAAAAAAGGTGCCTACCTACAATCCAAAATGTCGCATAAGATGGCTGCCGTTGCTAGGGTTGTGCCGACTAAGTATTTAACGAGTATCGATACAATTTGAGTAAAAGTTCTACGTAGGTATAGTTTTAGGGATTAGCCAGCTGATTAACGGTATTTTTTATGGGAAATCATCTAATGTCATCTCCGGCCTTTTTCGGGACAGACAGTTACTGACTAAAATTAACTCCTGTTCCTACTTTGCCGTCGGCCTAGCTAGAGCCCGGAACCCGGGGTTAACTTGGTCTCTTGATTGGCTAATGATTTTCTCAAGTCGAATTTGTATTCATATAATTCTACGTAAAGCGTCTTTTAAAAAAATAGGACTGTGTTTATGAACAGCGTTTAATGGAATGGTGAAATAGAAAAAGATAGTGTTTGTTAAATGTTTATCTTTATATATGTGGAAAACCTGTGGGTATTTGTGAAGTGCTCGCGCACATTTTCGGCGCGTCTGATTAAGCGATGATATCTTCGAAACTACGTTAGCACAAAATAGATATCTAGTGAAGTCAATCTTATTGTATGTATCTCACTTTTTATTATTACGCTTGGTGGTCGCACTGGGATCGTCGCCAACGCCGCTCTGTCAATCGCGCCCGTATAATTATAATACATGATAATTTGAACTTCTACTTATGCAACTAAAACCAATACCAAAATACTGACGTCTTACTTTAGCGTTACATAAAACTGTGGAAACATCTATTCTATTGTTAAAATAGACTATTTAGTATAATATATGTTGAATTTTAAATGGGAGATTATATCGATACTTTTGTGAAATGGTACGTAACTATGCCATATTGACATATTATTGTAAACAACATTTTTTTACTAAAACTGTCTCACAGACAGAAATAAAAGTAAATATATATACTTTGGCAATAGATTAAAGTATCCGTGACATTTTTTTCTATCTATGTGGATTATTCTAAGTAATATTTGATGAAAACTGTTTACTAACCTATACAAAGACAATTGAGGTTGATTTTCGTTCTTTTTTGCACCACACTGCACAATACAACACACAGGCATATTGTTTTTTTGTTTCACTATATATATTTGAAGTTTAAAAAAATGGTTCTTTGTAATTTACTGAAAAACCGCAATAATTTAAAACATAAACAACCGTTTGACAGCACAACTACCATGAAACTCAGGTACTCTGAGCGCTTAAGATGGCGGACATGGCACTTACCTACAACTTTGCTAATGTCAAAATGATTTGTTTCCATATTAAGCAACAACTTAAATATTGTTGTCCCTTTTGTCTAATACAATTATTGCCTTAGAAAGAGTGAGAAAAAATGATATTTCATAGTTTGTTTCATATTTCCCTCATATTTGTATAAGCATGTATACTTCTATAGTAACACGGCGCCTCTATATATTTTCTATCTCAATGGTTTCTTTCTTCGATATGACATTATGACAGATGACGGTCACATTGTCAGCATTGTCTGTCACATTGACAGTCAATGAACGGAATCTATTTAATATTGCTCTAAATAAATAACACTTTCAATCTGTGCTCTCAATGAACAGCTTTGTAAAAAAAAAACAAAATACGATTTTTTGTTTCATGGACTACAAATTAATTAATCAGACTCGTTCTTAAAAAAAAAACAAATTCCACAGTCAGTCGAATAGCCCTAGCCCATACAAGATAGTCTATAGTAATCTGTGGCTCATTCTTGCAATTCAGTGAAATGGCGGGAGTTCAAAAAGTCCGATTAAATAATTTGAACATTAATTTAAAAAACGCATTGATTATCGGCATTATTATTGCTAAGAATAGTCCCCGTACAGTAGGATCCAAGAAAAAAAATAATGAATCTAGAGGAGTAACATCTTTCACTGTAAGAGATTCAGAAGTAGACACGATCAATGTCGATGTTTGGGGATCTGAATATTTTGTTTTAACTTTTTATGAAAGATTTTTAGTTGGGGATGTTAGTAAGTGACACGTTACTTACACCCATATAACACAATATACGTATGTTTTGCTAGACTCATACTAAATATATATTTTACAGTTGAAATCACATCACCAAAAATTTGCATTAAAACAGGAGACAATGAAGCATACAGGCCTCAGGTAAGATTTTTTAAATTGTTTTTACGTCTTAATTTAAATAGATTTTGCTAATAAATGTTTAAATTTATTTACGTCTATATCAAATGGAAATTAATTAAAACTTTAACGTAGGTGACTTCACCGTTTTACTTGAGCCTAAACGAGGGTATGTCAGATGTAAGCATCCACGCCGGAGACGCCTTTAGCATGTACTTACCGCTCCTCCACATACCGACAAAGCAATGTTCAGGATACTATGGACTTGCTGAAGTTTTGAAATTGCCAGGTTAGTTTTGAACAACTACAAACATCTATAAAATTTAAGTGGTCTTGTCATAAAATAGGGACAAGTGCCGAGTTGTTGACGTCTAAGTATTGAACCGTAATAAGTTTAATCGAAATCATTTAACAATAGAGACAGCTGAAGTGCCTACCTAAAGGTAAGTACTAGATACGTAAGAAACGGATATGACCTAATTATTTCGAAAACCTTTGCAGATACATCCAATAACGTTTACGTGGATTTGCTGGTGGTTGTAAAAACAGTAACACCTGCAAAATCTATAAGGACTAAAACTGGTAAATAATTTACCCTTCCGTAAAAATACAAAAACTCATTATAGGTATTATTATCCACTTTATGTTTTACTTTTGAAGGAGTGGACATGTCAGTGCGTGGAGTGGAGATAATAGACAATACGACGCCAGCTTCCGTTAACTTGGATATTTTTGACATCGATACTATACAAAGGTCTATAAATAATTATGCAACTACTTACACTTAATTAATATTCTTCAATTAAGTTATATATAAGTTATATATTTACATTGACATACTTGATCTAAACCCAAATAACACTATCGAGTGTATAATAAAGGTAGATTAACTAACAATATATATGTAAGTTTTTATTTCTGTATGTAACGCGGATTTCTTCTTCAAAGCTGACAATTTTAAAACCTTTCGTTTCTTTAGAGCTGATGAATGGCGTCCTTTAGAAAGCGTGCTGTTCATTGCGGACGCTCGAGTGTCTTGGCGGTCTAGGGCCGTTACTGTACAAGTGTGTGCCCGAACCGTGATCACCCACCAACCTCATACAGCAGATGCAGAAGCTCTTAGGTTGCATATACGAAACCAATCCACAACGCGTGAGTCACAACTCTAACTTTAGCGATTATTTGAGACTATTCTATTATCGTTTTTATGTGTTTATCTTTACGATAAGCCTGTTTCATGAAATACAAATGATTACATGATACTGTAATATTTATTCAGAATTTCACATGTCTGTAACGGAAGATAAACATGATCTCTTAAGTAGGTACTACCTACAATAATATTTACATACGAATGCTAGCCAAAATTAGTATCTAGGTACTTCGGTACATATGTACCTACGTATTGTTTCTTTGTCTTCTTTTTTGTTTATCTCCGAGGTTGTTCAAGGAGTCCGAGGAGGACAATTAGGTCATTGTTAAGAGTTTCAATTGAAGACCAATTGGAATAATGGCGCGCCATATTTCAGTTCATAATAATATGTTAGTTCTTCTAAAGTGAACTAAACTGCTGCGAGCAAGACTTACAAGCAAGGTTTCAGCTTTTGTTCTAGATTGGACAAAGTTCCTACCTACATATTGGAATTTGGGTAGAGTATTTTCGATGTTAAAAATGCATTATTATAGTATTCGCTCAGTCGGGAATTGCATCTCATGTTCTGTTAGCGTTGCTCGTCCTCTAAAATAGGTATAGGGATATTAATGTAGGTACCTAATTGTGGTAACAACTGCAAATACTCAGCTGCTTTGTTATTTACTTATGTTGGTATACATACATACCAATATACCATGGAACAATTTACTAATACTTACAATTGGTACTCGGACTACTCGCCACATGTATTATCTAGGTACGGAATCGCACTAAAATTTTAGTAGCTGGTTTATTATATTATCACTCTTTAGCACGCAGATAATTTTACCTATGCTGTGTGTTCGGCATGACATTACATCATCTTCCCAGATGAGCACTAATCAATGAACATAACAATCTTATCTACTTATTGCTTTTAATCTCGTATAGGTACTTATTGATGTCGATTACCTTATTCTTATCTATTACCTACAGGTTTTGCTTTATATAATTTCGAGATAAAACGATTGTTTTTCCTTATTTAGAACAGAAAAGAGAACTCAAAACAGAATGTTACTTCAATAATTATTGTGGGCGATAATATCTAACATGTAACTTGTCTTCATACTTTCTACGACAGATACAGAAAAAAAATAAGTACTTACAGAACATTTTTTTTTTTTGGAAATGGATAAACGAAAAGAAAACTGGGTGACCTTGAATTTAATGCTGGCAAAAGTGGGTGAAATCAAGTTTGTAATATTTAGACATAAAACTTTCATAGTACCTACCTACATAAGTGCATAGGTAATTCTTTATTTATTGTATAATTATAATACCTACAGTATAGGTAACAACTTTTTCGTATCTAGGTGGTGGTGAAGCAGCGGCATGGGCAGCGTGGAGTGGTGAACGCTCATGCGCAGCATCTGTGGCGCAAATTCGCGACCGAGTCGCAGGCGCAGCGCCATTCTGCGCATCTTTACATGCTTTACTTACACACCTGGATATGGATGAGCTTGATAACTTGTATGCTTTATTAACATAATGATTTTAATGTGTATATTATGCGATGTATGCTGCATAATGTTTCTTTGCAGGGATAATAATCCCGAAGAAAGTATTCGGGTGCGTTTCGCTGATCACACCGGAGAATTGACTGCACGACTTCCTATTAATGTTCTTGAAGATACGTTGGGATATTCAGTAAGACTACCTAAATGATTAGTTTTGGTCAATTCCATTTAATTTTATGTAGGTAGATGACATGATTATTTTTGTAAACCCAAAATACATCCTATGCCTTCGTTTTCGTGGATAATGACTAGCCTCAATTCTATTAGCAATGCACTAGTGTGATAATCAGCTAATAATCCCTTTCGCGAACGGCTGTGTTGCTTGCTACTAACATACAGCAGTAGATATAAAAAGACTAGTTTAAAAAAAAACTAATCATTTTTCATAATTATATAATTATATATAATTATAAAACTCTTCCTGTAACCGGGAATTCTGGCAAAAAAGTATCTATCGGTATTGCAGATCCAGCAATTAAAGGCTATGCCATCGGATAATAGAGCAGCGGTGCGTTGGGCGATTCTTTTGGAGCAATGTACCGTAAAACTGGGAGCTTCACCACCTCGCCTCATCGTTTTATCACTAAGACGAGCCACACAAGCTGATCCGATTCCACTTTATTAAACTGCTTATTACTTTCATGCTATTTAACTTTCTCTGTTAAAAATAAACTCATGTCAAACAAGCTATTCAATTGTTTTAATTTTCACCTTCGATTTAACAAAAAAAAATACCTACTTACTTATATTCTTGTTTGGGAAGTGGAACATAAAGCAGTTTGGGTAATTTTATATAAGTACCAACACGTTAAATTTGCATGACCGTTTTAATATAACGACTAGTAGTTTTAACAAATTTAGTACGGGTCACGGTAGTTTTGTGCTGATTTTCTTAGTATGATCAATACACTTTTGACGATAAACCCGCGCTTAAAACGCGTCTAAGTCAATAGACCTTTATCTTTATTTATTTTATTGTCATACGACATACTTAATGCATAAGTATAAATAATTTATTAAAAGATAGTAGCAAAGACCACACTGTTGTTTATCACCGTAGTAACCTTAAAAGTTTATCGACTTAACGACGACCACCAAGTCTGTAGTGCTTGGGGCGTTATTTGCTCAATTAATATTATCATGGAAAAACCGGAAAAGATAGAATTAGTTTACGAATACAAAAAACGGAGAAAGGAATTTGGAAGGCAAACGCTATTTGAAGATCATGGGCCTGAAATGATAGTTAGTATACCAAACAATCCGGCACATTACCCGGATTACATTCTTCGAAATCCTGTGCATTGTGCTATCCAAAATACAGGGACTATGTCTGAACATTGGGTAAATTCTGTAAGGTAAGCTAACTTTTGCTACAAACAGCCAAATAAGATTTTGAAAGACCAAAATATTATGAGCGGTTGCCGAATCAATATGAATAATATTTTTCTCTACTTATATAATTTAGAGCAGAATACACAAGTTCCGGTGTGAGCCATGTTGAAGGTGGATGGCCTAAAGACATCAACATGAGCGATCCAGAAGCAACACAAAGATACCGAAGGAAAATCGAAAAGGATGATGCTTATGTTCATGCTGTTATGCACTTAGGACATGTTTGTATACATACAAAGAGTAGTTTAAATGTAGATACATAAGTAAATAGCTAATTAAGGTTAAATTACGTTTGTTTTACAGAGTATGGAACATAATATCCTTCAAAACAATGCAATAGACATGTACGAGACATATAATACAGACCTGCCAGCTATACCTCCAGTAGAAAACAGTGGTTGCCATACAGTCAATGTGTACCGTGAACCGGACGGCAGGCGTCCGATCCGATCATTGTCGTGGCAAGCAGATGGAGGTGCAAAATTAGCAGTAGCTCACGCAGATATCGAGCTTACTAGGAATTCGAGAAACCCACAATATTCCTACATTTGGGACATTGGTATTTATGCTACGAAACCTACCAGTTTAGTTAAAATAAAACCAAGAAACGGGAGGCAATCTCAAATACTTGTTTCTGTTCTTAGAGAATGCCAATGCACCTGAGCTGGTAATAAAAGCGCCACAGCCACTGCTTGATCTTATATACAATCCTCGAGATCCACACCTTATAATCGGCGGAATGATGAATGGACAGGTTGGTCATAGTTTAGGAAACATAGCTAATCATTTAAAATATTGGTATTTCTAGTGTTTATTTGAGTTTGTAGGTTGGGTGGTGGGATACAAGGAAAGGTGGGGATCCCGCTGGAGTTTGCCCACCTCACGTTGCCCATCGTGACATAGCCCGAAATGTGCTTTTTATAAATTCCAAAATCGGAGCTGAATTTTTCTCATCATCACCGGATGGTGTTGTTAAATGGCAAGTATAAAGTTTAGTACCACCAACCAATCAATAAAGAAAATCTATTACATCAGTTTTCGGTTTCTAGGTGGGATACACGAAATATGAGTGAGCCGACAGACTCAATGATCATCGATATTGTAAAAGCTGTAACTGATACGCCGTCCATTGATAACGCCATTGGGATATCAGCACTTGAATATGAGCCAACGATACCAACGCGGTAAACAATGAAAATCCATGGTGATATAATATTCATAAAAATGTCGTAACACACCATAATAAAACAAGTCTTAATTTCGTAATTTGTCTAGGTTTATGGTTGGGACAGAAACTGGTTTAGTAATTGGAGGTAATCGAAAAGGAAAAAATGCTGTAGAAAAACTTCCCACTAAGGTCAGTTTTGGAGAGTTCTCATTATATACGTCCACGTATGTTTTGTCTCATTAATTTCTTTTTTGTTTAGTACGAAGCACACTTTGGTCCTGTGTACGCCTTGCAAAGGAACCCGACATTTGTCAAAAACTTTCTAACAGTTGGGGATTGGACTGCTCGTGTTTGGAGCGAAGACTGTCGAGAATCTGCTATCCTGTGGACATATTCACATCGAACGAAACTCACTGATGGTGCATGGAATCCTATCAGGTGCGAATATTCTACGGATATTGTCTCGTTTCCATCAGCTTGTTTATTTTTGCGGCTGGAAAACGGACATGTCATTATGGCGGTATCTGTCGTGGTTAAAGCGCTTACTTCTAACGAATGAGCTTCGGAAACTGACAGAAAATACCAATGTGACTCAAAGTTATGAGTATAGGCATACCTACCAACTTTCTTAGATAATATAGATATGACTGACATACGTTGTAGAAAAACTGGACTAGATAATGATTTCAAATCAAATATCCACCTTGAGCAATCGCGGTGAAGAGTTTAATCAGCGGCGGCCTTTTTGGATGATGAAAAATCATTTATTGCCATGGGTTTTTTTTTGTGAGGGGAAAATCATCACATGACTTCTCCCGCCCAGGGCGGGGCAGGAAGGAGTGTCAGACTCTTACTGACTAAAAACCCCCCTGTTCCTTCTCCTGCTCTATGCCGAGGTCGCGGTGCCTCATTGCGCTTACCCCGCAACTTCTTCTTATGGGGCCTCATCTGTGGTGGTCTAATGGCTCTTTGAGGCGCGCGCGGAACGCTACGCGCCGTACGCTCGGGCCTGGTTCTGGTCGGGCGGCGAGCTGCCCTTACTCGCCGACCGCAGGCCCGTGTATTGCCATGGGTAGGGTGAGAACAAGTGTTAGATTGTTAGGTACTTCATAAAAACCATGCCGATCCTTCTCCCAGATGGATAACCTTCTCCAATAGCACGCCACTTAGCCTGTAAAGTAGGTAGATTCCTTAGGTAGGTACCAAGTTGGTACAAACACAACATTCCCAACCTTTAAATTAATGTGCTTTTGCATATATACGAATTTAGGATTATTTTCTAATACAAAAAGTTATTTTCTATTAGAAAATAATTCTAAATCTTTACCTACCCGCTTTTTTGCAGATTTTCATTGATGCTTGTCACACAGTGGGATGGATGCCTCTCTTGTTGGGATTTGCTAAGAAGAAGAAGCGCCCCGTTGGTAACAGCACAGCTTTGTGATGAGCCCTTACTCCGTCTGCGGCCACACGAAGGAGTTCGTAATTTTGTTCACAATACCTAATAAAAAAAATATATTAACGTCTATACTTATGCTCATCATCTGATATTAATTTTTACTATTAATGATATTCAGGGTTTACTAGTAGCATGCGGCAGTAGTAAAGGAACTGTTTACTTAGCTGAATTATCAGAAAATCTTGGTACAGCAGACAAAAATGATAAACAATTACTGACACACGTAAGTCCCAAAGTTACAAAATAAGCTTATACACCGATCACATAATTATACATATATTTTATAAGCTCCAATTATTATTTAAAAAAATATGATATTCCTCAGGTTTTAGATCGTGAAAACAAAAGAGAACGTATATTAGAAGCTCGGATGCGAGAACTGAGATTGAAAATGCGTCAAGGTGGTAACGTTAACGAGCCGGCCGTGGAAAGTGACCCATCGATGAACGATAGAGATTTGGAGGAGGCCACCACAGAGTATATGCAGACTATTAACGACTTACAAGCACAGCAGAAAACAGAGGGCTAGTTTATACAACCAAAATGTAATATCACGCCCACAACACTCAAAAGGATTATCTACACACACACAAACCCACAGAGCTGTTAACTAATTCAGAGATTTTGAAATCAGAAACCCTAGTAATACTTAGCACGACCACTGGGATCGCGAGAAATAAAACACGACATACTGAAACTTAGTTTATTAAGTCACTTATTTAAGACATTTAACTTCTACATACATACATACTGGTCAGTCACAAAATTAGCTTCATACGACTTGAATACTTGCAATTTTTGGAACAAAGATTCTTTCTACAACTACACACTTACAGTAAAGTTTCAATAAAAATAATAATAATTTATCACATTCAATGCCTTTTATTCGGGTCTTTGAAAATCCCTTGTATCCATAGAACATATGAAAAATAAACGTAAAATCTATAATTTTTATCATCTGAGTAGATGGTAGGTCATAAAAGTTTTGAGAAACAACACCTTACAATTGGGGTAAAGTTTTTCAAAAATACTTTTGTGTACTGTAAATACAGATGTAATAAAATAATTACTATATGTAATATAAATAGTTAAACGCCAAGTCGATATAAAAGAATCGACGTTTTCTTATTTTATGCTTTTTTAAATTATGATCATACATTTGAGGATACGAACCAGCCTTCTTTTGATAATTATAGAAACACATTTATTCGACGAGTCACTCAGAAATCGGTTTTAAGGTAACGTCTGAGCTTGCATTATGTCAAAAAATAATTTTGTGGATAGAATTACTAATTTCACTTGTACACAGTACAGTTTAAGTAATTTGTTCTTGATTGTTACGATTAACACCCATGTTGATTAATTATAACCACTACATAAACTGTTGATATGCAAAAAAGGTTTTGATGGTAAGCATCTTTTCTTTAAGTTTTCTTATCGTTATTAATATTTTTATTTTTGTTAAATGCTATAAAGTTCCATTTATTTTCGATGTTAGCGCCAACTCCGCTTGTAGTGCGTTCGAACACATCAGTATGTTTTTGCAGCACATGATGTATTGTAGCTTGAGATACCTGCGAGAAGAGGGCGCGAACATACGACACTACGTAATCCAAGCTGGCGCCTTGTGGATGTACCTGGATAAATAATTTTGCCCGTGAACAACTATTGCCTAATTTAAGTTATAAAATAAATAGAAAAAGATGATGATTTTTGGAGCAAAGTACGGGTATCCAATGAAATTCAAGGGGCTTTTTTAAACATCACATTGTGTGAATGATATCTATACTAATATTACAAAGAGGTAAAATTTGCAAGTTTTTAAGTTTGTATGTAAGGGGTAATCTTTGGAACCACTGGTCGGATTCCCAAAATTCTTTCACTTATTGATAGCTACAATATTCCTGAGTGCTATATGCTATAAAACATCACGCTACTATCAAATAGAGCCGAGCAGCGAGTGAAACCGCGCGGGAGTAGCTAGTAATCTATAATTGCTTACTTGTAAGAAAGCCGACATTACGCCAATTAGCTTGGCTTCGCCACATCCTGCTTCGACAGTCTCCTTGGAGTGCCCTGAAGACTCCGCATCCTCAGGCAGCGGCGGAGGCGGCGGTGGAGGAGGTTTTACCATCGGCGACGGCAGGGGTGGCTATAAATTAAGTACATTGTAACTTTTTCACAATATACAGACAATATTTTTCTTTTGTGATAACTGATTCTGACTTTTAAATGCTCTGTCCCTTGAGTACGTACGCAAGGTACAGGTAAATTCTAAAATCGAGCAATTTTTTCTCCAGGTAACATTTATTTGACAAAATCGGTAAAGATCGGAAGTAATAGTTGTATTAAAAAAGAAGATAAAAAGTAGTTATTTACATTTTTGTCCAGTGCAACTTGCAAGGCTTGTCGTGCAATAAACTGCGCCTTGAATTTCTCCATCTCCTTCATAGTATCCGATTTTACGACTTCAATTTCATTTTTATATGCCTCCAGTTGGAATTGTAGACTTTCATTTTCACGCTGAACCAAAAGAAAACAATAATGCAATAGTATATAAATTAAACTATTTAATGGAACCTATTAACGCAAAGCAGAATGTTATTGTTAAAAAACTACATACTTTTAATTGTTGTAACTCTTCACTTTCCGAGGCCCGACTTAAGCCATTGTAATCGCCATCGCGATCATCGCCAAACTTTTCGAGATATTCTTCTTTCAGTGAACTAAACTCCTGAAATATTTATATTTGTTTAGCGAACAATGTTTAAACAAACAGATAATAACAACTAAACGTTGTAAATGCACAAGTGAATGTTTAGAGACTATGTAGCTAAACTACACCACAGAAGTTGCATGGCAGCATGCCAGCATATCATTATCCTGAAATACGTCACACCTCTCCTTCTTCTCTTTACCTGTTTCTGCTGTCTTCCTGGTCACCTAGAATTTTCGCCATTCATTACACTATTGAACCAGCGTCAGTTCAAATAAAATGTATACTTACTGCAATCGGGCGATAAAATTTTAACACGTCTAAGGTTTACAATATTATAATGAACAGCAGGATTACCACGAACAATTGCGTTAAACATATTTACTAGACAGTCTCACTGTGTCCTAACAAATCAACAATTGCTGGAGAAGTACCTGCGTCATTTTCTGCCACGTCTCAATGTTCTTTCTCTGCGGTTTTGTGAAGTGATCCCATACGCGTTGATGAGACGCTGCGGCAAACACTTTCGCCACCTGTTCGACTGAGGTTCACAAAATTATGTTAAGAGATCCGCCTTTGGTCTAGCGACCAAAACATACCGTCGTAAAGCTCGATCGATCAGTCGTCCCTTAGTCAGCGTACATATTCGTCGCAGCATTACACGTCTACCTAGCACATGCGAGGGTGACGAGCCAGTCGACTATGTAGCACGCGCCGCAACCCCGCGTTACAGAGACATGTCTTCTTGTTGTGACTTGACACAAGTACCCAATATGTTTTGACAATTAATTTTATTACGAACTCAATACTATATTTAGAAAGCAACTCCACATTAAATGCGGAACGAAGATAAAATTTAATTGTCATAACATCATTAACTTACAAAAGCTCCCAATTTTTCTGTCTGTTATATAATGTTTTATACTTATGGCTGGAGGTCATCTGGCGAGGCCGTCTGGAGGCGATCCATTTTTCATTGACTACCTACTCCGTACGAAGATATAAGAGTGGCAAAATATTTATTAAATATTAAGATATACCACACTCCAAAGTTGCTTTAGGTTCTTAAATGACAAAAGCATCTTACTAGTGCAGGCTTTATAAAACTGTATTTTATGTTTCAAATGATGTTTAAAACATAAAAGATGTTGCATTTAACTTCTACATCAATGTTTTCATATTAGAAAACATTATGACCATCTTACCTTCAAATATATTAATATCTTAAATATGCAGATATTGCCAGAAAATTAGACTGATTTCACACTTTCACCAGACATGGTGATTGAGAAAACTTTGATATAGAGTACAGTCAAACTTACGTTGTTCAATCACACTTGCTATATGATTCTTGACACGTTCCTTGCAATTTTGTAATTCTTCTTCAGCCTGCATTTTTTCATTAAATAATCTGCGTATGTGTGAGTTAGTTGCTTGAATCATTGTGTAAAACTGATTAGCATTCTTCTTGGAACATTCACCTCGCTCTAACCACGCAAGTAATGTCTGTAAATAATAATATTGTAAATAAGTAAGATAGGTAGGATGATACGTGTGGGAGAGTAAAGCTTCGGCAAGAATGGGTCGGCTCGACCGGAGTGATACCACGGCCTCACAGAAAACTGGCGTTCCTCATTCACACGGCGAAACTCGTGTTTGTGTGTGGAGAGGAGAGAATGAGGATACCGGAGGCCCAGTCCCTCCCCCTCCCCCATCCCTTCCTAATCCTTAAATATCCTAAACCCTAAATATCCCTAAATGGCCGGCAACGCACTCAACAACCACTCTTTGATGTTGCGGGTGTCTATGAGCGGCGCTGAAGAGGTAATCCGTCTACTCGTTTGCCGACCTATACCATAAAAAAAGATACGACAATTCTAATAAATATGTAAATAGATTTCATTAAACTTACTGGTAAAGTCATTGCAAATTGTTCCTCATTTTTAAGTTTTTCTGCAAGTTGCACCATAGAAGCATTAGTATAAGGTTGTACTCTACTTGGTGGTGATGGTGATCTTCTCCTTAGATCCAAAAATGGGTTTATGTTGCGATTTACAATTTCTTGCTGACTATTCATTTGCTGCATCTGTACTTGCTGCGCTCGCAAAGCTTGTCGCTGTCGCCGCTCAAAATCATTCTGGTCATCACGACTCTGAAATATGCAGGTACATAATTGTATGGTACTATATGGACGCGCGCATTGGGTTTACATTTATTAGCAAAACTCACCATATAGACAAACGTAAATAGAAATATAGAAAACAAATGCAGCTTGTTAAATAAATTATTATGATGTAATTTTTTTTCTGTCAACAGGAAGAATAGATTTTTGTAAACACTTACCAATGCATAATCTACATGTAACCAACCAGATGTAGCATTTGAACTTTCGTCATCATCATCATCCTCATTCATATCATCATTGTCTTTAATATTTATCAACCTAATATGGTATCCAGATATCATCATAGCCTGATCTACACATTCCTCTCTATCAAAACGAATATGACAAAAATTTTTCTTTGACAATCTTAATGTATGGATCCTTCCATAAGTCTCAAAAATTTCTCTCACAATGTTTTCTCTAATTTTATCAGGTAGGCCACCTACAAATATTGTTCGGCAGCCAGGAGGTTTACCTCGACGGGGAGGTTGAGGTGTGCCTGAGTCTGGAGGAGTGAGCCTAGCATGCTTAAAAATTAATTCTTTCTTTTCCTGCATGGTAGGGATATCTCCACTCATATTAGAAAACATTCCCATCATGCTTGGGTCCATCATCATTCCACCCATCATGCCCATTTCCATAGGTGGAGCAGGTGCTGGTGCCATAGGGGGTCCTCCCAATCCTGACATATCCATGGGTGGTGGTGGCCCCATATCCATTCCAGGACCTTGCATAATTTCCATTCCTGGGCCAGGCATCATGCCTCCACTCATAATCGGCCCAGGCAACATCATGTTAGGGTACATTCCACTAGCCATCATCATGTTAGCTGAAAAGTTCAATATCATATTAAGAAAAAGGTTGAACTCGGAAGAAGGTTAGTTTATTGTTGCCTTACTATTGGGTTAAAAGTTATACAGTAGGTAGGAAAAACTAAAAGTGACAACCTGACTTGAGCATGACACCTTAGGAATCAACGGGTGTAATGACCATTATTGAAAAGATCACTTTTACTGAAACTCAACGGTTTTTTATCTGTATTTTTAAAGAGTTCTTATTTGGCACAATAAGCCATTATGTTTTAAATGAAGATCCATGCAAGACACAATGTATTTTCTATTTTGTCTTATAAACCAACATTCAACGGGTTAATGGTGGTAGTCTTCTGCTTAAATGACTGCACGGTTGGTGCGGTGGCTGGGCAACTGGCTGCCGTGCAGCGTGTCGCGGGTTCGATTCCCGCACGGAATAACTCTTTGTGTGATCCACAAATTGTTGTTCCGGGTCTGGGTGTTATGTGTATGTGAAATTGTATGTTTGTAACCGCACCCACGACACAGGAGAAAATCCTAATGTGGGGCAACGTTTTTAAAAAAAAAAAAAAAAAAAAAAAAAAAAAAAAAAAAAAAAAAAAAATAGAAAGTAAGACTTGGAAAAGAAGACTTCGAATGGTTTCTTTAGACCAAGAAACCAAAAAGGTAATAGAATCCACACAAAAACAATTTCCTAGTAACTGATTGAATTAGTATTAAATCACACCAGTCATAAATTCTATTGTCTGAGCTATGCCAACAGCAATTTTTTTTAATATTTTTGTAATAATATGCACTGTTGTGGATGTTCTTTATCATAAAATATTAAAAAGTGCTTTTTTCTTTGTTTTTTGGCTCTCTGGCTAAGTCGGGTTTTGGTGCTTACCAAGGTTCAGGTATCGATATAATGTGTCATAATTAGCTCCAGTTCTTAGATAAATTGTAGTTTTAATACAAAAATAAGTATCTAATGCTCAAATTTCAATTTCATGATATTGGATATATTGTTAGATTTATAAATAAAGTACCTTGTGGAAACATATTGGTCATCATCATAGGATTCATAACATTGGGCATGTTATCAATTGCTTTAGCAGAATCTTGGGTTTTGTGATCGCGTCTGCGACCTAGATTGTCGCTCCTATGAGGCGACCTGGACCTGTCTGCTCTGTTGTTAGCTGAATAACAAAAAAAGTAAATGTTTGTGCAAGATCGAACTACGTATTAGTTTAACATCGTAAAAATATCATGATTTTAGAAGTAATATACAATAATGTTTCTAGTAAATATTGTGCAAACCTATCATCGTAAAAGGGTTCCCCTGCTTTTTCTTCTTGGAGTTTCTTGTATGCCAAAACCACAGCGTCGAACAAAGACAGACTTTGAAAGTGGTGTTGTTCAGGAATGTATAGCTATATCACTGCAGTCAATAACATAGACTATACAATATAAACTGAGATAAGCGTACAATTTTGCTGTTAGTTAGTATTTAGTTTAAAAACGGGTATGTTCGACTCGATTCAGCATTTATATTCATTTATGAAATCAATATCAAATCAACACAACACAGAGAATAATATCTGCCATAGACTACAAAGAGTATGTAACCACTATAGACTATACAATATATACTGAGATAGATGCGTCTCTCTGCTTTCAATTCATTTTTATGATACTAACTATCCACTAGATGGCGCTGATCACAAATGCTTAGTACCGGGCATACGGACTAGATGGCGTTTAAATAATTTTGTTCCCCACTTTTAATGCTGTTCTACTTTAATTTTATTGGTACAGGTCAGTTAAGAAAAAAAACAAGGAAATTATTAATTTAACCTTTATTTTTTTAATGCTTAAAAAAATAATTGTATGCCATTCCGTTAATATGGTCATCCTTATCAAAATAAGATAATCTTCCAATCAAAATTCTATTAACATTAGTACACCAAACGTGGATAATTAATTTGATTGAAAGAGCATTAATCAATTCAATCAAATAAGCTTTGTGTAAATCACAAGTAATCATACTATAATCACATGCACAATTTAACAAGAATTTTATTTTACATGATGTAATTCAGGAGATAAACGTAGGCATGCAATAATCAAATAGGGACTTTTTGTATAATAGACATCATAATTAAACGAATGCTTATCAATCACAGAACTACAAAAATCACGAATACATATAATATAATTTCTGAAAATTTTGACTTTACCAGTTACATATTTTTTTGCTTCAGTATGCACTTCATTATTGTTATTACTTTTAATGTTACCCATCACTGTAATCAACGAATCAAATTCACATGCAAAATCAACATTTGAAGGAACGACAGGTGCATTTATTAAATGAATTAAAGATTGAAATAAGCCATTGTTATCTTTTTCACAGTTTGAATTTGGTAAATGCGTTGAATTAAAATTATTCATAATCAAAGTCTTAAAGGAGTTTATAAATTGATTACATGATGGATTGTTTTACCATGCTTATGTAGCATATTTACTAAGATATGGTCTTATTATTTGGGGCAACTCAGTAGACGTAGAAAGAGTCTTTAAAGGACAAAAAAAGTGTATTCGAGCAATGTGTGGAGCTCACTTTTTTGATAGCTGCAAACCGCTGTTCCAAAAACTTAAAATACTACCTTTGCCAAGTCTCTACATATTTGAAACATGCATGTTTGTAAAAAAAAATTATGATTCATTTGTTAAAAGTAACTACAAAACTAATAGTAGAGTATGTCACAAATACAAATTAAAATTGCCGCAAATAAAATTAATGCTTTACAAAAGAAATATTTACTGCATGGCAATTATTATTTATAACCATCTGCCAAATAATATTCAAGATTTGCCATCGTCGTTGTTCAAAAGGGTTTTATTTAAAATGTTACTAGAGAAAAAATATTACAGTGTTAAAGAATATTTAGAGGATAAATCGCTAGTAACATAATATTTATGTAAAAATAGGCTTTGCCATATCTAACAGTGACATAATTATCGAACATTAATGACATTCTTATGACCAATTTAATTCAATTTTAATCTTCATTACAATAATATTTGTATGTGACATGGCAATATTAATTCTTAATCTTTATTTTAATAATATTTACAAAACCAATACAGCAACTTTAATCCTATAAATAATATTGACATTTTATTAATTCGTATTATACAGAAATATTTGTACGCCATAGTATGGCAGGATATGCTGGAATCAAAACTGTAACATCTATTGTACCATATTCTGACAAATAAACATTTTTGATTTTGATTTGATTTTGTTATTTCTAATTCCATTGCTTCTAATACTACTGAAAAAAAATTCTAACGGATCTTGATTAAAATTTCTTGTCAAAAGACTATGCACATTGTGATTAAAATTCAAATCAACCCACAATTCTTTAAAAAATCTAATATTATGGATCCAATTCTTAATTGATGGAATTAATTCAAATTTAACATCATTACATTGGTTATTATTTTTAAGAAATATTATTGATTCTAATAGAGGCAGTAAATTATTCCACAGTTGGATGTGTGATAAACTATTTTTAAACAGGTTTTGTACTTTGTCGACATTTGATAAGAATGACCAATAAATTAATCAATTTGATTAAATATAAGTAAAAAATCAGCTGTTTGTTGGCATTCCCCTGGAAGTGTCTGATGTCCTGAAAAAAAAAGAAATTATATTTAAGACATTAATTTTAAGTGCGTAAGTGCTGAAATAGCACTCATGCGAACTCGTGATTTCATTAGAGATTGGACAGTAAAATCTAAGTTAAATTGCTTATAATCCTTCATGGAATATACAGTATGTAAATTATATATACTGTATATGACATATCATCACCCTTACGTTAGCCAGATCTTCGACGGAATAGCTACTTTTCGCCAGCTATATGTCATACGTGATAATATACTGTGTCACATTCACATTAGAGTTTGCTTTTAACACCGTTTTAGGATGTCTAGTATAGAATAAACTGTCCGTGCCTGGCTCCTTGGTCGCACACACAATACCACAGAAATATAATTAACTAGCTACACTCGCGCGGTTTCACCCGCTGCTCAGCTCCATTTTATCGTAGTGTAATGTTTTATAGCCTATAGCACTCAGGAACATTGTAGCTATCTCTCATTGAAAGAATTTTGGCAATCCCACCAGCGGTTCCAACCATTACCTCCTACATACAAACTTACAAATTTATACTCTTTATAATATTAGTATAGATTGATGTCTACTTACTTGCTAAAAATCGTAGTGCTGCAGACACTCTCTGGCTGAAAAGTGCTGCGTGTTAAACCTTCATTTTTGGTAGTTTACTTTCAATAACATGACATTCGGTTACTTTATTGACCAGTCTTATTTCATCAACCCCATGTATCTACATTTAAAAGCATTTAGCCCACTTGACCTCACCATTTTGGACAAAGGCATCTTTCTTCAGAACATTATTTCTTACGCCCTTCAATAGGTGAGGTGTATCAAACAATGCATAGACTTTTATGTTATCTACACTTCAAAAGCACCAGACTTGTATTCCTCTCCAGTTCTTAAATATTTTTCCTTGTAACATCTTTACAACTTTTGTGTTAGTAGCAGCTTGATCACATATAGTTGCTACTACCTTTAGCCCAATTTCGGAGAGCTGCAATATGCTTCTTTTTAATAATTATTAAAATAGTCTGGCGCTTTTGTTGAACCCGTACAAAATGTGTAGCTAATGGGTTGTTTATATTTGCTTTTTATGCTTTTAATCATAAGTACAAGAGCATGGTCAGCCAAAGATTGCCTGCGTGTGGTCCCCAGATCTTCGAAATCGATAATTCTTCCTAATTTAACATTATACTCGAGTCCTGGAGCCAAAGAAATCTCATTAAATAATAGATTTACGAATTCGCTCTCATCATTAATTTTTGTTACGGTATTGCATAAATTTTCTAAGATTTTGTTATTTATGCGTGGAACAATTGCCACTGCACTAAGCATTCTTTGGATTGCTCGTTTTGAAGGCAAAACAAACATATTTTGCAAAAGCCTGTAAGCTTTTGGGCTTTGCTTATATAATGTAGTTAAAGCAATAACTTTTTCCTTTTCGGAAAATCTTCTGCCTTTTGGTTTTTTTAAACCTTTAATTTGTAACAGAATGAATACACGAGAACTTTCTGGCAAGTTTTCAATTAATTTGAAAAATGATTTTTTTGTTGATAAGTGTTTAGCACACTGCTCTAATGTTTTTTGTACTTTTCCCTTAATTTCTCAATACTATTTTTGAGACATAGTATGGTTCTTTTTGTTGTCGTATCCATTTCATGTAATTTCTTCTTGGTGTCTGAAAATAATAATTATGTATATTATTAACATTGTAATGAACATAATTGTACTAAGTATGAACATAAGTCTCTAACAAAATACTCTATAAGTTATTAACAAAAAGCAAACATTATGTACGGACCTACACCTTCATTTATACAAAAGATTTGTAGTTTTGTATAAAATAGTAAATTGAAATTAATAACTTAAGGAAAAACGATTAATACACATTACATCCAGAAACAATTTGTAAATCACAGAAATAGTTGTTCCGCATTCTGATTGAACCCACAACACACTCCACAGAAGTCAGTTGCCTGTCTTCTGCACCAATCAGTCACGTTAAATGTGGTATACATTTAAAAAAAAAATTACTTACTTAGATAAGATATTGATCTGCTTTTTTCTTGTACACCAGTTACACCACTGAAGATTGGTATTGGTTCTAGAAAAGAAAAATTAAATTTATGTTAAAACAATAAAAAAATGTTCTTGTTTTAAATTACTAAAATTCTCAATACTAATGAATTCATAATTTATATACCCATAGAGTTGATATTTGTTTGGATTGTCAGTAAGTCAGCTAGTATATATAAAGGATTTAAAATTTAATTATAGATCCCATCATTTTTTCTTTTTTCTAATAACTTGTCTCTGCATTGTTCTTACATAAAGGTACATTCCTAACTAATATTATAAATGCGAAAATAACTCTGCTGTCTGTCTTTTCCTCACGCTTAAACTACTGAACCGATTTCTGTGAAATTTGGTACAGACATAGTTTGGAACTCGAGAAAGGACATAGGATAGTTTGACTACTATTCTATTTAACATATCAAAAGTACCTTTTTATGGTTTAGTTGGAATAAATGATTTTGACTTTGACTTGAATTAAAGTTTGTAGTTCATGTGGTCTTTAAAATATTTATCATGGAAAAATATATAATATTCTAGAGTTAAAAATAACACTTTATCACTTTTAAATTTTTACATACCACAGCTTTTTCTTTATCTTTCAAGAGTATTTTGGCTATTAATTTCTTTTTTGGTCTTTATCATTCTAAACTTTACACAATAAAGGAAAGATCAAGTACTTACGAACACAATCAGATACAATTTCTGTTAGAGAAGATGGACCAGGTGTAGGGTTCAAATAGGTGTCACCTGCTGCACTCATGGGATTAAGGTCTGTAATTTAGGAAATGTTATGAAAATTAAATATCACAAAATTGAAGGATTTCTTTTAAGTTACATTATAACATGATATTTCTTTTTGATACATTGTCATCGAGCATTATATCATAATTAATTTTGTTTCTCCTTTATGTCTCAATAAGAGCATCTGATCTTATGTCATGTGTCCATAAGCACACTTACCTGGTTAAACTTGACACACATAACATAACAGACGAAAACTAGTTGTACAAAGGCTGTTGTATATTATATGTGCATCAATGTCATCCTATTTGGAAGTATGCAACTTAAAAATAATGGTTTATGCCCATTTTTTTTATAATACACATTAATACGCTTACCTAAAAATAATGTTGGCACTGCATTGTGTGTCAAATAATGAGATGGCAGTCGGTAGTTTTCATTGAAATGTCTGCCACAAATTCTGATCTTTTTACAAATATAATCATCCCATTTTCTTGATTAGCTAATTGAAGTACTGACTTCTATTTTTTAAATTGATCAAGCTGTTCCAATATCCATGAATTTGGATTCGGGAATTTGTGTAAAGGATCTGGAAAATGTTAACAAAACAAATTATAGAGTGAGGTAATCACAGAAGAGAAGTGACAAGGCTCTCCAATATTTGCATCTCATTTACACTAATACAAATTATTATCTGTCAGATGTGTCATATCAGTGATTATTTTTAAATAAAAGCTATCTTTGGAATCTTTGAAACAAATGAGTTGCACTTGTAATACCAATAATTTGCTTACTGTTTATATATTTATAATTGCAATAGAATAGACATACGGTACAGACTAAATCGTCTAAATGTTTCCTTAAATTAAATTACAATTGTATTATGGAAATCTAAAATACTTTACATTAAATTAAATTCATTAATGGGATCACGTTTAAAATTTTCACAGTTATACAACTTACTATTTATTATTATAATACAATAAGAAAATTACCATGTTATGCTAACATTGTTGTTATTTAAATTACCATGTTATGCTAAAAGTTTTACATTATTGAAGGTTCAACGACAAAAATAACATACGACTTCCCATTCATCTTAACATATATATTTTGTAATTTCATAAATAATGGGTAATCATAATATAGATATTAATAAATTGAATAAATTACACACAGGTAGACGTTTGTTTATAAAAAAATATACTCTATGATGTTAGTGATATTATATTATTGGTATAATAAAATTTACAATCAGTACACAAATATAAACGTTATTAGACAGCAAACCTTACCTTTATTATTAGATGGACATCCAAGATAGCACTTCATAAAAGTTTTATGCAATCAAAATCCGAATCGAGAAGGATGGGTTAATAGTCCGTTTTCGTGGCCAAGACAAACGTAAAAACAGCAAACAAAGTCCAAAACACAAGATCAAGTCAATAAATTAATACGGGTTTCAGAATATCCAGATTCACAAAGCCAGGTTGTGGAAAATTAATATGGAAACACGTTAAGTAACAGGAACTCAAACAGCGCGAAAACAAAAATGGCGGCATTAAGTTAGGAAACGAAGTTTAAAAAAGTTATTTTGGTTTTTCCTAGTATTGCCATATAAACAGAATACGATTTTATTTTGAAGTAATATAATATATTGTTCTTTATGAATTACATATAGAAAAACATTTAAAGTTAATTATTGATATAAGTAAAAATATTTTTAAAGGTGATTTTAGTGGTACTGATTAATTATAAATTTGATCTCATTTGTACTATTTTATAAATTTAAATTTGATCCCGTTATTCTTGTTTACACTAATTGATTTTATGATTTTAATTTGATTTTATTTGTATAATTTTATTTTTGTTATTATTATTTATTTATTTATTTTATTCATTCGGCACGCTTAATAGATTTAGTATTATATGTAGGTCTGTGGCTGTATTATATTATCTTGCCAACTATTGTTTACCCACTGACCTCTATAATAACGCTGGACTGGCTATTGGTACCAACTTTTTGTGCCTATTTGAAAATCGCCATTTTGGCGCTGACGGCAGAAGTGAGGGGGAATGGAACTAATACTAGTGTTGACAACAAATGGTTTGATATCGATAAAAACTTTACTGATATCGACAACAATTACAAAAATATTACTGACGATATTTTTAATATTAAATTGGTTTAGAATCTAAATTATTGAATAAACTGGCTGTACATAGGACATATAGGTACATAAGATATTTTTTTTAAATATGGTTTGTAACATAAAATACGTTCAGACTTAAATAACTATCACACAACACCATCTAGTCCCAAGTTAAGCAGAGCTTGTGTTATGTATCAGACAGCTGAGTGGGAATCGAACCCATGATCTGCGGCATAGCAGACAGAGCCACTTACTACGAGACAAACAAACTTATCTGTAATAGTAGTATCTACTAGTTTCTGGACTGTAATCAATAGGTATCACGTGTCCGGTTGACCCGTTCTTTCATTTCATTGTTCTTCTTGATTGGATAAAAGTTCACTATTGAATTAATAAATAATAAAATTACCCTTCATAGAATGTATTATACACTCTATGGTAAGGGATTAATTTGCTTGCGCATGGCGACGTGGGATATCTAACTAGTAAGATATCCCATGTCGCCATGCGGCACAAGACACAATAATTACTATTAGATCTGTAATTACGGTAATAAACTTCTAACAGCTTAACTACTGCAAGGGAAGGGACAGGGAAATTAAAAAAGCATATTTAAATCACATATTTTATTATTTAAAATATATCGTCGAGCCCATTTTATCTGCTGGGTCAAAAAATGTCTTACTTTCTCTCCAGTTACTAATAAAAAGTATTTTTTTGTTTTTGCGTACAAATGGATGTCAATATATTTGGTTATTATTTCTTTTAAAAGAACATGATTATGAAAATTGTCTGAGACATAACAGACTGACTCTCAAGTGATCTTTTAGGAAACAGTTCATTGGTTTTCGTTAAAAGGTTGCTTATTGACTTTCATATCGATCGAATTATAAAGCCTCATTAATATTAGAATCAGGTATTGAAACTTTCGACTGAGAAACCTGGATTGGCCTCAATGGAACTATACCATGAGCGTATCACACGAGGATGAGGCAAAGCCAAATTAAACCTATTACGCACATATGCATATGCCTTTGGCGAATAAAAATGTAAAGAAATGGCAAATTATCTTAATTCTGGAGATTACTTTAAACGTTTTACATTTTTGGTTATTCTTTTAAAAAGTTGTGGTTTGAAATCATCATACTGATTTAACATATAAACACAATCATCACATCCCAGTTTCTTTTGGTTTAAATCAGCAATTACAGATTTTAAAGTAGACACAGTAATTTTCATACGTTTAATATTTTGTGACAATACTTTAATTCGAGCTTGTGACATTTTCAAGGTTTTTAGACCCTTTCCAATTTATTTTTTGAAGATTTTGGGGTGTTCTCGTAGCTGTGATCTAATTTGACACTAGAAATAATTTCCGCTAAAGTTCTAGATTCTGTTGGTGTGCTACAGTAGCTTGTGTTGTAAACTTGTAACTTGTGCTTGGAACTGTAACAAGAAATTATATTTCATTATTTATATTATTCAAAGAAAGATAATAATTAGATACCTAGTAAAAATATGTTTCAAAATATTGGGAAAGGTATGTCATCATCATCATTTGAACGGAAAGATGTTCACTGTTGGACATAGGCATAAAAATCCTTAAGTGTACATAATTTTCACCTCTTAAAAATTGTTTAGTATTTACCCACTGTTAGTTGCAAACTTAGTACTTCAGCAAGCCATGCTCAGTATTTATAAAATTTTCTAAAATAACTTACCTGCAAGGGCTTCACATGGCAACATTTACTTTTCATGGACTTCATCATTTAGTAACCCAACTTGTACAGGTACTGATGGTGAATTAAATTCATCCAAGCTCATTTCAATATCTTTCTCGCATTGGTATTCTGTTGGTTGATCAGCTTTTAGACATCTCAGTTTGTAATAAGGTTGAATTGGTTTCTGTAAAAATGTGTTATTTTATTACAAATATATATACTTAAATTTAGGTTTGGTAGATCACTCAATAAAATTATTAATCATAAATGTTAAATTATTCGTTATTGACTCTGATAATTATAAACCTTGCAGTGTTTTGCTATTATTAGAGATCATTATATTGTGCTTATTATTATTCTACAATGAAGGTAAATATTTTTATTCAATTAAATTCTTATTTAGGCCTTTGTGGAAAACACCACAATTTTGCCAATAATACTTATGAATTGTTAAAAAACCATAAAGAGCTGTGTCGTATTTGACGCAAATTAATATTAAAAATATAAAATATTTTAATTATGAATAAAATAAAACATAGCATTACTGGTTTTATTACTCCAGACGAAAGTATCGATATATGAACTTTACCATCCCTATCAAAAGTTATTGGTTATAAAAATGTTCGTAAAATCCCATAAACTCGAACTGTTTACGTTTATTATTGAAAGAATACACTGCTTTAAGCGTTTCCTACTAAGTATTTATATTTTAGATTCACTTACTTGTGAAAAGTGACGCCACTGCTCTTTTCGTATCGTATTTCACAATATACGCACGATTTCATGTTGGTCCATTAATAGAAGCTATGATACAATAACTGTCACTATTATAACACTTAATTTATGTCACAATCGCAGTAAATACTTTAAAAAACGTATTATTCCGCAAAGATACTTCGCATTTAAACAACAAACAACGGCCATTTGCAATTTAATTAGTTCTCAGTACTCTCACCGGGGCGCTTTGAATCGGCACAGAAAATAGCTGTCATTTTGTTAGGGATAGCCAGTCCAGCGTTTATTATAGAGGTCAGTGTGTTTACCATATGTATTTGCAAAAATATTATGTGTTTTAACAAAATCATGTGATTTAAAATAAATATTTTTCAGCTAATTTAACTAATTATATTAAAATGGTTGCAATTGCATTTGTTTTTTGGGGTCATCTGAAATGTGCTGCCATCGTGTGATATCAAACAGAAACTTGGCTCATTTTTTTTTGCTTCTGTCCAGAAGATGGCACCACTTTCTTCGTATTTTTTGAAACCAATTTCCTAAGGAACTGACACCCCCCTGATATCTGCTTTTCCCGATAGACACGAAGTTTGATTCGATTGGAGTATTGGAGTATTGATTCAATTGAACATGAAGTTAGTTATGTTCGTTCCAAAGAAAATTTATGCACTACGTTTAGTTCGTGCGTGTGCGTGAACAATGAAAATGAGTTTTAAATCTCTGGCCACAGACCCTTTTCGTCTTTCAGTTCGGCGTTGCTAATAGTTACACTAGATTTTTATATAGCCTCTTGAAAACCACAAAATAATAAAGAAATAATAATCATTAATAAAATCGCTAACTTTTCTATTCAAAACGTGTGTTAAACAAAGTTAAAAGAGCAGATATGTTATTTTATTAGTTTCCTGTAATAATTAGTGATAACTAATTACTTTGCTGTGAGACGAATACGCTGTTCATGATTAAAAGTCTTATTGTGACTTGATTAGTCAGATACACCATTCGTTATGTGTTTCAAAGTTAAAATCAGTTAATCAAAAATACATTTAATTTGATTAAATGCGAAAAGTGTAATTATGAATCCTATGGTAATGATTTAGAAATGCGTGATCTCATTTTAGTTATAAATGAGTTAAAATCATTACTAAAATCTATTAAATGAGGGTTTTCTAAAACTGTTCCCCGTGAGGTAGCTGCTCTGATGGTGGAATCGGTTGTGTGCTATCACTCTATCAGACGACTGTTTGAACCTGACGCAAAGACGCATACGCTCCATGGTCCATGACATAGCTCCATGACTCCACTCTGTAGTCTTTGATCATCACACTGACAACAAACATCAACAGACGGCTTGTCATAGTTGTCATTTCACGTGCCAGACCGCGAATGTTATTGTTTTTGAAATGAACTAATATTTGCTTGGTATCAAAAAAAATCACCATGTTTGTGTTAGCTGAAATGAAGGATGTGATCAGAATTACCCCAGAACATTTCCATCAAAGTTTAACGGAATCAATAACAACATTACTCAATAGAAAGTTGGCTAATAAAGTAAGTATTTATTCCTAACCTCTTATTCTTATTTAAGTGAATAAAATATTCACTATTTAGCAAAGCCAGCTTTCCATATTATGTACTCCCAGTCTATTAAAGCTAATATTTTATCTAATCAGTTTCGTTTCTTTTCAGGTAGTGTTAAATGTAGGATTATGCATAGCCTTGTACGATATCATAGATATAGGCAATTCGTACATATTTCCTGGAGATGGTTCCTCACATACAGAAGTTAAATTTAGATTTATAGTGTTCCGACCAGTTGTTGAAGAAATACTTATTGGGAAGATAAAGAATTGTAGCAGGGAAGGTGTACATGGTATAATTTTGATATCCAAGTAGTTCATATACACTTTATGGAGGAAAAATAATTTTAAATTAGGGATGTATTTGTTTTGCAGTAACTCTTGGATTTTTTGATGACATTGTAATACCAGTAAATGCTTTACAACACCCCTCTAGATTTGATGAAACAGATCAAGCTTGGGTGTGGGAATACCCAAAGGAAGATGGAGAAAAACATGATTTATTTATGGACTCGGGTAATTTGCTTATCTATTATGCCACCTAATTTATCGTACTATAATACTATAATAAGCATTTATAGTAGTTACTATGTTTGGAAGTTTGTTACTCAATCGCACCAAAAGGGCTGAACGAATCTGGATGAAATTTGACACAGGCATAGGATATCAACATACAATGCGGGCAAAGCCGCGTGCAGAAGCAAGTTGAAAATATTATGTAAAACAACATCTTTTACAGTTCTATAATATGTAAAATGTATGTAAAATTTTGTTTAATTTTTTTTAATTTGTACTTTACTTGCTTTACTCAATAGGAATACAAATAGTCTTCCCCTCTCTCTCTCTCTCACTCTTTCTCTCTTACACTCACAGCTCACCCCTGCTTCGCACAATGTGTCCAAGTACCACAGTGTCAAGTCATAATTTGTTTTGCTATTTCCCAATTTTCCTCACTACCTTACATTTTCACAACAACATTCCCCTGCGAATAACAAGCACAACAAAAAAAGGATTAGTGAAGTAAATGGTTGGACTTGACTTTATATTGGTTTTAGTTAACAACTTGAGAAATATCAACTTAAGTACCAGTATAGGAGACACAATTGGAAATATTTTGTTTCCTGACCGATATAATTTTTTTTGTTTGTCTACAGGAGAGTCAATAAGATTTCGGATCACTAGTGAAACCTTTGAAGAAAGTTTACCTACTGGGCCTCCTGGTACTGAGTGCACAATACAGACTGTGGCTCCATACAGAATAGTAGGTGGGATAAATGAACCAGGATTAGGTCTGCTAACTTGGTGGGAAGCCCCAGAGCAAGATGATGGAGATGAGAATGATGAAGAAAATGCTGAATAAATATACATTATTATAAAAAGACCCTAATGTTTTCATTATATAATATTTAAGTGAAATGTGATAATTGTTAAATAGTAAAACTATAATATAATGCAACAATTATATTTTTTTTTTAACATTTTTTGATGCTCAATCAGAAAATACAACAATATAATTGTATAAATATGATAATACATTTAATTATCCTTAAACATTAAGATTATAATTTACGATATTTTTCTTAACACTATTACAAGAGCAAACAATAACAGCCGAACATCACAAATATTTTTGCGCACATTTACTATTAGCATCTAAAATAGATTAAAATAGGAATATAAATAATTAAGATTCTATAATTCCTAACACTATTTGTTCATGGCGTCATCACAGACACAAAACAGACTGCAACTTGCACAATAAAATAGGATTGTATAAATAATATCAAGAAAGCTTTAGTTAGACCTAGCTTTCATGTATCTTTAGGTAAAATGAGTCCGAGCCAGCCGCCATAAACTGGACACATCGAGACTCCTTGCGACCAATGAAGCAGTCTGTACACACATCTTACATATATGTCTAGAACTTAAAAACGCAACATACTAAAAAAAATACAGCTTGTATGAAGTGATACAGTTAAAACTGATAAAACCCTTCCTTACTTAATAAAATCATATTTAAATAGATTTCTTGAATGAATGTATCTTCATACTACTATATTGTAACATGTTAATATAACTATGTTGCTTGAAACTAATGGCAAAATGTTTGTATTTCACATTTTAAGTTTTCCCTGTAGGATATCTAAAGATCGTAATCACTATCGAATGATCAATGAAATAAAACCAACTTGATCTTCTACAAATAATACAATGTACAAGTAGCTAGGTGTATAACAGAATCATCACATCCAATAAACCCGTATATCATTCTATGATTTTTGGATAAAACAAGACACATGCTATGCCTACATAGCAGCAAATTAATAAAAAATCTAATATTCCTATCGCAATCGCTGCATATTGCAGTACGATTTTTGTGAACTCCAAACAGATTTTGGGTTTTATATTTACTAGTTTTTGGGTGATGCTTACACCTAATTTCAGTATTTGCCTTAATGAGATCATATAATAGAAACCATTGGCCATAATGCATCTAAATATAAATAAATAATAAACGAAATAACTACAAATCTAAATGGACAATAATAATGTCTTTAAAAACAATAAAATTATTAACAAAGTATTTTTTGGTTAACTTCAGCACCAGAAAATTCTATATCAATATTTAAAAAGCACCTAATGTTGATAAAGTAAACCGTATTTAAATTTGAGATATTTTCCTAAGTAACAACAACAATATGTAGTTTGTTGAGATCTGAAATCTCCATGTAAATTGATAACTAAATATTTAAACTCTTATAAGTACATAATGGTAAAATATGTGTGTGATTATACTAATATTTCAGTTTTGGCATGTCCATAGTCGTGTTTAAGCAATATGAGAGCAAATGAAGTGTTAGAGACTTTTAATAAAAATAATACTCTACACTTCATTTGATTGAAGCACCTCGCGCACAAGACGCCACGGTTACGATACGATTGTGATTGTGACTGCAAACTTGGTCAGTCGCAATCTTTACAGATATGCCCAAGTCTTCAAACTAGTCCTAAATGATAAGTATGGTACCTTTAGTTCGTAATCGTGGCCGTCCACTGTGCAAGATGCCAAAATATTAATACTAAACAATCAGATATTTATTTGAACGTGTACAACAGAGGTGAATTAGAGAAATGATGAGCGTTGTTCACGTGTGATATGAGTCGTCCGTTGAGTAGATGCCGGCCATATTGCACTGCTTCATGTTCATCTTTCGCCAAGCCGCAGTTTATTAGCCAGCGAACCAGACACGAGCCTCGGAATACACTACGGTATGTGCGCATACGCCATCTGTAAAAGTTACGTAAAAATTTGATTATTTATAAAAGCCTTTTTATTTGTTTAATAATCACAAATACATTAAATTGGAAGTCCCATTGATTGTCTTTGGTGAATTGAATATTATGAATTATTTATAGTCTGTACAGAAAATCGTTTAATATGTCGAGTTGTTTACCTAGTATCTTTAGCAATAGCCTCCTTGCAGCGATCAAGGTGATGTGTGATGAACTGGTCGCAAACATGCTTGGTTTCGAAGCTCAGGTCTTCTATGGACGGCAAAACCACTGTGTCTCCTCCATACCTAAATGAAAGTATTATAAATAACCAATAGTTTACTATACCTATAAAAAAATATGAAAAATATGAGATAAATGCAGAAAAAATCTAATTTAAACGTGTATTACGTACTTTTAAATTAAATTAAATATTCAATTCTTTATTTCAAGCAATTAAACCCATAGCAATATATAAAAAATCAAACAAACTAAGCAGTAACAACAGCATAAAGTTAACTTTACCATTTAGTCTTCAAGAATCGGATAGTGGGTATCAGTATTTCTTCCGGGTCGAGTCCGAACAGTATGAACATGACTAGTGCTTGTCCATAGTTGGCCACTATGTCCAGAAACTCTATCTCGACGAACACTCCACTCTCATCCTTCAGCATCATACGCCAAGTCGTGTAGGTAATGCCCTAGAATAAAACAAAAGATACTTATCTCTAGGGTTAAAACAAGGAAATGTACTGCTCGAGAGCCTTGTTAGGCCATTTGGTTCGCAGCTTAGCTTTTAATTGTTAATAAAATACGCAATGAATACGCGCAAGGAACCATATACCTATACACCCTTAAAATATGCCAGAATAGCAAAGAATAGAATAGAAGCCATATAGAATTTAATACACACAGATTTTTTTGAACAAAACGGTTTTTGTCGACATTGCATCAACTAAGCTTGACGTGGCGAGTGGCGTTTGACTGTTGCAAGGAAAGATGATTTACTCGAGTTCTGGGGTTGCGGAGCAAGTGCAATGAGGCACCGCGGCCTTCCACCTTCGGCCCAGAGCAGGAGAAGGAACGGGGAGGTTTCAGACGGGGAGATAGTCAGTATAAGTGTGACATTCTCTAAAAATAGTGGTGTTGATATTGTACTCACAATAAACATGCTGAGACTGTACACAATGATAAGTACAGTATGCTTGAGTAGTTGTCCACCGCGGCCGCGTGTCTGCTCGGGCGGTAGGAGACCCAGCGCGCCCGCCGCCCGCTCCAGCTCGTTCAAGTACTGACACGCTCCTGGCTCCGTGCAGCGGTGCTTCTGGGATGGTGGGCAAGCACAGTCCCTGGGAATAAAGGACAGTGATACAGAGTGCCATGTGGTGAAGGCAGGTCAGAACACAATATCATTATCAATAAATCTTCCCGTGGATGTTATACGAAACATGACGCCGACTCATGACTTCATGTATACTAGTATTTTTAGTTATTATGTTTTATTTATATTTATAGTATTTTTAAGTTTTATATGAACTATAGTACTGTGTGTTTATAGGCCTTCGATTAAATAAAAATAATAATAAGAGGAAGTGACTAAGCGTCAACACATTTAACAGAAACACCAGCTGGCATTATTTTACCAGCTGGCTTTATTTTACTTTAGTAGGTATTTTACGGCAATAGAATGGCAAATCCGACATTCTCCAAGTTTTTTGAGGTTAACGTAATTTTTTTTCTTATATTCTCTTAACACCCATAACCTCTATTCTCTGTCGTTCTATAAACTGCCACACTTACTTAGTATCAGCAATGTCTTCAATGTCACGTGAAGCCGTCAATCCATTCTCACAGTTAGGATCGTCAGAACAACATCCAGACTGCTTGCGTGGAGTGCGCGGTGATGGGGATGACGTAATGGCTCCGTAACAACCTAAAAATATTGTGCTTACTAATAAAAAAATCAAAATATACTGATTTTGTTGGTTTTTTTTTTTATTTTAAAAACGTGCCCCGCACTAGGGTTTTCTCCTGTGTCGTGGGTGCGTTTACAAACATACAATTTCACATGCACATCACACCCAGACCCGGAACAACAATCTGTGGATCACACAAAGAGTTGTTCCGTGCGGGAATCGAACCTGCTACACGTTGCGCGGCGGCCAGTTGCCCAACCACCGCGCCAACCGTGCAGTCAAGTTGTGTCAAATCAAGTGTGTTGAGAAGTTTTTTAATTTCCATTAAACATTGAAAGTAGGTATACATAGGCAGATATACTTTTGTCTAGCTTCCGCCCGCGGCTTCGTCCACATGGTATGTTGATAAAAAGTAGCAGTGCCAAATTTCATCCAGATCCGTCCAGCCGTTTGGGAGTGATTGAGTAACACACATCGTAACTTTCGCATTTACATTATTAGTAAGATAGCAGAAAACAATAATCTTTACAAAGATACCACTTATAGCTAGATAGCTAGTTAAAAATAAGGGAATAATAAATACCATTGCTATTATTGGCTATAGACTGTGTCTGCGATGCTGGTTCTGCGTTATCGATCAAGCTGGTAGACTCCTCGCGTGGACTGGAGCTGGTGGCTAAGTCGGCGGAGAGCGAAGCAAACTGAGCGCTGCGACGTCTGAACCTTATGTAAAGGATTAGACAGCCGATGGTTACTGAAACAATAATAAATTATTAGATTTTGTTTGCGCCCATGATACCGAAATAAAAAGTAACCTATGCGTTTTTACAGCCCAAGAAATCTATATCGGTGCGTCTTAATTTTATTTAGATTTGTTCAGTAGTTTCTACATATAAGAGACGCGGGAGAATACACATTTAGTCGGATGGAATAATTTACAGATCTATTATACCTAATATTAGTGCATAGACGTCAGTTACACTTGGGTTAAGCATTTTTCGCTGACTTGATTGGTGAGAGTTCAGATATGTTGTACCTTTATCATGTGTGTTTAGCAATTTTGACGTGGTAACTATAGCAGTGTTTAATCTGAAATGAGTAGGAGACCAAACTCCTCCAACCTTTAACAAAAGCATTGTAACTCAAAAATAATAATAAAGATGACCTGTGGAAGTTGTTTTACTTTTGATATTTTTTATGCAGAATCATAGTGAAAGTAGTGGTAAAGTAATCAAGTTTTAACACATTCAGTGCCCCCGACGCGTATGTGCGTTTCCTTACGCTACTCTGTGTGCCCTCGACGCACCTGTGCGTTCTATACATTAATGTATAGAACGCACAGGTCGGGGGCACTGAATGTGTTAAAGCGCCATAGCCAAAAGATTTATTTATTTTTCACAAAAATTAAAAAAAAGAAACGATTAAGGTATTCCCCATTCTTAGAAATGACACTCAAAACATTATTTAAAAAAGGCCAAGAAACATTGTTATCTACGAATGTAACATTCATGCAAAAATCGCATTGACTATATCTAAGTAGTTTAATACGTCATCAGTCGTAAAATTATGTTACTCGCTACTACAGATCATTCATAGATGAGTTCGACTGGCACTTGGGCGCTTTTAAATAAAATATTTTGTATTACCCTTTTTATAGGTACTTTTTTAATTTATATTAATAGGTACTATTTGTACTAGCAAGTATTTTAATAAAAACCCCTTAAAAATGTTAGAATAAAAAAAGGATCTTAATATTTCTGACTCTGTGCATACATACCTGTAATACAGAACACAAGTAAACAGAGTCGTATCGCATCAGTGGCCTTGCAGTCCAAGTCACCAGTGCCCTTGGTCGCCAGTAACACCACAACCATCACAACAGGCGCACCCCATGCCACAAAGCCTAACACCGGCCATAGTGTAACCACAAAACATGGCCCACGGCTCTGAAACAAAGAACAAAGTAAATAATGGCAAAATTACATAATAAACAATGAATGAATTAACATAATGAATGTTTTTTTTTGTCAGGGGATAATCAAAAAGGTCAGGAGTGTCAGTCTTTTACGGACAGCCGACGGTGTTTTTTTGTTAAAAAATATTTTATTATTATTTTATTGCAACGAAAAGTTACAATAATTTATTTTTCACGTCTTAATGGTTTTGTAATCCACTGAAGCCTGTACTTACGAATTATAATACATCTAGCGAAAAGTGTTTACTCTATACAACTATACCTACTTTACTATATAGTCTAGCTATCGTAGTGAGTGCAAGGTCGAAGTAATGAGTTTATCCGATCAACACGTAGGTTATATCTAACAATACATCGAAGCTTTTAATGATATTAGATAGCTAAATGGCTTATCCGTTACAGATAGCTACGACTAATATTGATTGCAACAGAATTTAATCAACATCATCACTATGATCACCAGTGACCAATGGCTTCTTCTCACAAGGAGAAACTTTGAGCATTAATCACCACGCTTGTTTAAGACTAATTGGCGATTTCAAACTTATAGTTAGAAATTGTAAGTCCGCGTCTCCTCACGATGTTTTCCTCTACCGTTTGTCAATGGTACCAGCCAGGCTTTGCTCCCTCATGTATGTGGTTACTCATCATTGTCAAAAGTTGGTTCTTATTAGAAAAGTGGAGCACGAATTTGTGTAACAGTGACCCTTTCGTTGTTAGCGAGATAGTTGGACCCGTGCGAAGCGGGGGCCAGCCTAGCCAACCTAATACGTTAATAAATAAATACCTGCAACATGAGAAGTCCAACAGAGAGCATAGAGGTCCACAGTAGGCAGGAGTACATGCTGAATATTCGGAGAGCCTGCTGCACGCTTGCATGCCACGACGGAGTGTAGTTAGTAAGGGGCCCGCCCCATACCACACTGATAGCCAAAAGTAGCTGAAATATTAAACAAACGTAAGTATAAAATACCGGTATTACCTATATACGTTAGTTTCCAACTAGTCAAATTCAACACTTTTATCCAAATATCAAAAACGATATTTGTCTATGAAATTTGTATGAGGGCTGATTTTTCAATAGCCAGATAAATGTTATCCGAGGAATAAAATTGTTGCTGTCACTGTCTAATACAAACATTCAGACGCGACAGCATCATAATTATTCCCCAAATACAACTGAAATTCAATGATGTCGTAGTATTTCTGCGTCAAAAAGATTACTTATTTCTAAAAAATTGACTAAAACATACCGAAAATTTTGTGTATCGACAGATCAATGAATAAAAGTTTAGTTATTTTTCAATATTTTATTGTATTGAAACGTCAAATTAATTTATTTCTGACCTAGGCTAGGCTAGGCTAAAACTACCCATTAATTAGACGCCACAATCTCTTCAAAGTAAAGCTAGGTCAAACTTGTCGTGTTGTTGTGTTCTTAGACAAGATTTTATTTAACTTGCAATGTATGTTTATAAAGTGGAATCTTGCAATATTTAACAAGTTGAACTGACATTCTGCATACACGTCCAGTTTTTGTGACTATAAATGCTGTTTATAAGACTAATATTCCAAATAATTTATTTAAAAAACAACTCTTAACATGTTTGGTCCCAGAACTTATTGACCAACCTGATTAAAGCTAGTTTTTAAAAATATTATTTTAATTTATAGAATCAGGCGTTACTTTGCGGAAATCCATGACATTAAATGTTAGGGAAAATATTTAGTTTTAATTCCGCGACAAGCCACAAGACAACAAGCCTGGATTTTTGTCGCGGAATTGAAACTAAATATTTTCCCTAACATTTAATATTATTTTATTAAAATTTTGTGTGATACCTAGATATTTGCTGAATTAATATCATTTAGTATAAGTAGAATAATGCTCATAGCCTGATTAAACCATTTAAAAGCTCTTTGGGGGGTGGAATATCTAATGTAAATGACTTCTCTCGACCTAGGTGGGGCAAAAGTGAGTGTCAGACTCGGTCTGGTTCTGGTCGGACGAGGAGCTACCCTTCCTCGCCGCCCGCAGATACTGGTCACACAGTCCCGACGCCCGGAGGGTCTCTTACCATGCCCGTTTAATAATGTCTTAAAAAACACTCACAACAGGATTCTGGTTTATCGATCTTAGAATATCTACTTATTGTTTTTGCAGCATGGTTTAATTTGGGAATAAAAGCAATTATCTATCATATTGGAGTTTATAAGTATTCGATACAAGAATAGGTCTAACTATGAGCAAAAAAAATAAAAATCGAATCGTTACCTGTGACACAATCAAGCACAGAGTCAATCGGTGTGGCATTCGTTTATATTTCTTCGTCACTATGAATACAAATAGTATCCATATCGATGCGATTAATGACACTATCGACAGGTCGAAACCGAACTTCTTCAGCTGATCCGCAAAATCTTTGTTAATAGCTATCATTTGTGCCGACATGAACATCATGGGCGCTGACAAGAACGTGCATATCACCATAGAGGATGCCATCTGAAATGTAATATTTAGTTAAAAACGTGTTAGCTACTGATGAATATTGTGCATGTATTTATACATTCAGCTTAAAATTACATAGACGGACTTATTGCTGGGTCAAGGGCATTCTCTCCAGACAGCCGTTGAATGGTATGTGTGATTCTGGTAAAGAGACCTTTGGTAAGTCGCCGTACATAAATACAATATACCTGTACTGTTCAAAGGCGCCTGTAAGGGTCTAATGAAATAAATTATTTTGACTTTGAAAAAATTAAGTGCCGCTGAAAATAATCGAGCACTTTCCTCAAAACATAAAAAGATTGAAAAAGAGAAAAGTTTTGTACATATAACTCTAATTTTAATAAGACTCCTAAGGTACCTAGTAGGTACCTATAAGTGCTTTTGTGTTAGGGTCTACTCCCGCTATCCTTCTGAATAGGCCACTAGAAAGACTCTTCTGAGTAGGCCTTTTTAATAGGCAGAGTTTCTAGTATCTAAAAATGTATTTGAAAGTCAAAGTCAAAATCATTTATTCCAACTAAAACATAAATAGATACTTTTGAAACGTCAAAATAGAGAAGTCAGTCAGTCTGTTCGTCAGTGAAGCTAGGTGCTCATTCAAAATTGTAGATTCGAATGGAGAGGAACGAGCAAGAAACTCCATCGTTGGCATTTAATATTTATTTATGTTTTATTCCGTTCAAACGTTCATGGTTTTATAAGTATCTAACAGACAGAAAACTAATAAAAGTCATGATCCACATTGTTTACAAGAATTAAATATTCATTTTAAATCTATTAATAATATTAGTTATGTATTATTAACTTTTAAGAATTAATTATGTGATATAAAACACAAATTATGCAGTTATCGAAAATCTGTGAATGAACTTAAAATTATTTTTACATAAACATGTCTGCAATGATTTTCTAGAAAACCCACTTATTATTCACAATTTAATGGTTGAACGGGTTTATTTAGTGACACAGATAGGAAACCACGTGGAAAACGTGGTGTCAAGATAACAATGTCTTGCAATTAGTCACGTCTATGATAAATTCAATAAGCTTTCCCAATCTGAAAATAAGTACTAATTGATCTAATCGATGTAGCCTATAGATACACAAGTTGATACACGTGCTATACATTTGTGATTAGACAAGGCAATACACACGCGATCGATATAAATGAACAACTCTAATTGAAAAAGAAAGGAAACTTACCAAGTCGATTTCTAGTTGATATAAGTTCGAGAATACGAAGACTGCCGGCGCGGTCGGTATTGTTCCATATAAGAACGCATAAGTGGAGAGTGATAAAGTTTCGGATTCATTTGCACCGGCATTCAAGGCGCTTACACTTTCCCTCATCACTACCGGCAGGACGATTCTGTAACAAAGTTAAAGATTATTTCTCTGTTTGTTATGATTAAAAGTTTTTGTGAGGAGAAAATAATGAAATGACTTTTCCCATCCATGGTCGGGCGGGAGGAGTGTCAGACTCTTACTGACTTAAAACCACCCCGTTCCTTCTCCTGCTCTGGGCCCGGGGCTGCGGTGCTTCATTGGGCTTGCCCCGCAGCCCCGGCTGTTAACGTTCTAATTTCAAAATATCGCCATCAGCAGCAAAAACAGAAACAACTAGCAGTTCTATTTTAAGAAAACTATTAGGTAGTTACCAGTTACGTACGCATTACGGAAATATTTATTATACATAACGGATTAAGTATTAATAAATAACTTATTTCTGTATTTCATAATTATGAATTTGTGTAGAAATCCAAAGGATCATATTTCAATAAAAAATGACTGTGACATTTTCAAATTGCATTTTAAAATATAAATGTTATAATCATTATGCTGGCGCCAATAAAGTTGCATTAGGTAGGTATTATACCCGATCTGATACTAATAATATAATGAGAACAGATTTGTCTTAAGAAATATAAAGGCACCAAAACTAGTGTATTGGTTCGGTTAGAAAAATGCTTATAATTTGGACAACTTTATTATTAAGAAACATATCACAAGCTACTTTTTAATCTTATTTTTCGACAGGATGGGGACCTAATCGAGACAAATATTTTAAATTCAAAGCGGACAAACCCGAATGGAATGCTAGTTTAAATATTAATTAAAACGTCGATAGGTGAGTATGGTAATTGATAAGTATAATTAGAATAGATATCATCTAAATCTATGAATGAGACGACCAGACAGACAACTTTGAAACCACTTACTTTTAAAAGAATTGCCTACTTACGGTACCTAACAAAATTTATGTAATCGACATAAATTACCAGGAATTGTGTGAACTTGACCTTGATAAAACTTATCAATTCGTATTAATACAATGAAAAGATAAAATTTGCTGTAGTAGATGCTGAAAGCCATTTATGTTAGGATACTGCCTGATTCTGGTTACGGAGAATGGAAAACACTTTCATTAACTTGGGATGAAAGCTAAAATAAGAAAAATATTAAAGTAGTAATCTTCCCATATACATAGGGCGAATTCGTTCGTAAGAGCTTTTCAATTATGAATTCATGACGTTTGTTTAAGCTTCAAAGTGTTGGTTTCTTTATGTTAAGTTATGAATGAAAATAACTTCCCACTAGGGATGCAGTGTGGGCAGAGTCCTCCAAACGGAAGGGTACCTATTACGCAAATATCCAGTCCGGCATCCGGCGGAAGCCTTGGTTTTGCAGATACCCTAGGTTTTCCCGACAAACTGTTGCGTCCTTATGCAGACTTAGACTCGGACACTGCTGTAGTCCGGTATTCCTCAACAAGATCCGTGTTCGTGACAGCTCGCTGTGCGAATGCGGTCTTGATGAGGGGACCTTAGATCACATATTCTTTTCCTGTTCCCTAAATTCTCAGTCCTTCGACCTGTATCAAAAGCTTCCCAGCCTCCAAATCCCTCTCCCAATTAATTTCCACTCCCTACTAACCTTTTTTTCAAATAAGTTGATAAAATACCTTTCCCAATTTGTCTCCCAAAATAATATCAAAATATGATGGTGTGTGATATAAATTATAATGTATATACCTATCTCCTTGTCTATTGTATACCCTCTCCCTATGACTGTCTATGTTTAATTAAAATTCGTATAAATTAATTGTATATTTATCTATGTTAAATGTTTACTAACCCAAGTGTGTTGTCTTTCTAGCTACTAACAATAAACTACCGCAAAGTCAATGTTCGACGGGTCTTAAAACTGCCGTCACCCGTCACAACTCGACACTGGCAGAATAGTCGACAACATTGGAGACTCAGTTGCCATTAAGGAGAAAAAAAAAAAAAAAAAAAAAAAACTTCCCACTATGTTTACCCACTACCCAATATCGTACGATTAGCATGTAGATTTCATTAAATTCCACTTATAACGCTGGGCTTAGATAAAATATAATCTATCATTAGAGCGTAGATATTTTATTATTCTCTTATCTAAACAGCGGAAAAGCCTACGTTAGTTACGCCAAAAGCACAAAAAATTTATTTTCTATTTTTATGTATGTTTTATTTGATATGATTATGATGAAATTGATTGAATATTGTAGGAAAAAGATTCATAAATACATCTTATGGACCTAGTTTAACCACAGCATAACAGTTAACTGTGAAACTTTATTTATAAAAGTTTCAATATTTGATGCAGTATCAACAGCAGACACATTAATAAATACATTAAAAACATGAATCATTATTTAATATTGAGTTAGTGCAACTGTTCATAATAGGTTTATCATTACACCTACATTGTATTTATAAGTACCAACTAATTTATTTAATTACCATGCTTTTAAATTGTTACGCCTCCTACATAATAACGAATTAATGTAACATTGGAACACGATTGGTTTATTGATCCTGTTTATCTTTTCAACCAGTTTTAAGAGTTTTTTTTTTTTTGTTTTCTTATTTATTTAGATACCTATTTACAAAGCATTCGCGGCTAATGCTAACCATGCTTTGAAAGCATGATCAAGGTGATTCGTACATTCCTATTATTTACTGACTAGATATCAGATGCTTAATTCAAAGTTAACTTTAATTTTAGGTACTATGCCGAAATTTTAGAATTTTTGTAATAAAATAATACTAGAGGAATTCCATAAATTCCTTCGGGAATAAATTAATTCATATTTTATAGGTCTCAATTATTTTATTCTCAAAGAAGTTCTTGGGTGAGAGCTAGTAGGATTAATACTTACAATTTAACCATAATCAGAACACATGGCAACAAAAGGGCGGGTCCCCTTAGTCTGTGGATCTGTCCTACCATGCGTAATCCAAGCAAGAATAGAGCAGTTGCTGCAAACGATTGACCAAATACCTGAAATATGTTGATATCGTCACTGTAAAGCATAACTTTGGACTAAGTACGGTACTTATTTGACTGGATGGTTTAGCAGGCGATACAAGTTGGTGTTTCAAAAGTCTACACATGGCATCAATTGGCTTACTTTTTATATTCAGTATTAAAATTACATTATAAAGATATAATGAAACTTGGATAGTTTGTACAGGTTCATGTTTTAAATTGTGAAAAAACGAAAAACTATAACTACTTATAGTTATTATTATATTATAACTCACCTCTAAAAGTCCTTCAATGTAAATGGAGAGTTGGTGTTTAAATGCAGCATTTCCAAAAATACCAAGCACTGTCATCACCACCACAGGATTGAAAGCAATGCCTTTAGCAATCTGCTTCAACAATTTCCTACTACAAATACACCATGCTGATTCACCTTCAATAGTTATAGCTGGTGTTTGTTCTCTTTGTTTATTTATCTCCATTAACACAAAAGCAATTGGATTCAATATTGCCAGAGAAATTGGTGCCATCAAATACAAATAGAGAGCATATTCAGGGTGACTTTTTTGGTATAATGCATTTACTGAAAACAGATTAAAACTTTAAGATATTTAAAATCAATTACTTATTGTAATTTTTCGCTGATTTAATTGACTGATCAAAAATATATACCTATATTTGTGCCTGGTGTACAAAAACTTAACTTAAAATTTTACTAGAAAAATCAAATGGGATGTAAGGGGGAAAATACTATCTTAGTGCCCCAGTCAACCTCACCTGCTCGTGGTGCATCCTGCTGATTAACGAACGAGGCTCTGGCGACCGACTCATGGCGGTATAACCATAAAATGTAGGCGTAGACAAATTCAGCAGACTAGTGTCGGGCAGCAGCGTCACTAGTGCGAGGAGCTACGCCCTGCGATCACCAACCCGCCTGCCCAGCGTGGTGATTACGGGCATTACCTCTAATGGCACGCCTAACGAAACGGCCCCCAGTTCCCGGTCGCCCCGCTATTCTTGGCCAAGTCGGCGGTCATAGTAACGGCGGGGTAGGGGGTGCTAAGAATCTCCGGGCTATGAAAGGCCGACAACACCAACTGACTCTGGCTACGTATAACGGACGCACGCTACGGCTCGATGAACATTTGGCACAGTTAGAGGTGGAGCTAGAAAACGTGAGGTGGCATATCCTGGGGTTATGTGAAGTCCGAAGACAGGGAGAGGATACCGTAACTTTGGAGTCTGGCCACCTCATGTACTACAGGGAAGGAGACCAACCATCACAGGGTGGCGTCGGGTTTTTGGTCCACAGATCTCTGTCAGACAGCGTTGTTGAGGTCTCCAGTGTGTCAGCAAGGGTAGCGTACCTTGTGATCAAACTCACCAAGAGGTATAACCTAAAGGTCATCCAAGTGTACGCACCTACCTCGACATACTCGGATGATGAGGTAGAGGAATTGTATGAAGACATTTCCAGGGCCTTACACACCACCCAAAAGGCCCATTTCAACGTTGTCATGGGAGACTTCAATGCTAAAGTGGGAGTACAGACTAGCGGCGAGTCGGTATTAGGACCACATGGTTTTGGAAGCAGGAACCATAGGGGGCAAATGCTCGTTAACTTCCTGGAAAAAGAGGGGCTATTTTTGATGAACTCCTTCTTTAAGAAGCAGCCCCAACGGAAGTGGACGTGGCGGAGCCCCGACGCTATGACAAAAAATGAAATAGACTTCATTATGACGGACAAGAGACGAATATTTAGAGATGTCTCAGTGATCAATAGGTTTAATACCGGAAGTGATCACCGACTTGTGCGAGGCACTCTAAACATCAAATATGACTCCGAGCGTGTCCGTCTCATGAAGTCTACGCTCCGACCAAACTTGCTCCAAGCCGTGGTTGGGTCTGAAACATTTCAGTTAAAACTGGAAAACCGATTTGCTGCCTTGGAAACCACAAATGACATTGATATCGACCAGGAACTTGACCAAACAGTAGGGATCCTCCGAGACGAAGGGACGAGATTATGGCGGAAGCAGAATACCGGCAGGGGCGCCAAGCTTTCGGGAGAGTGCCTACAGGTTATGGAGAGGCGACGTAACAACCCATCAGTCGCTTCGTCAGATCTTAATAAAAAGATCTCAAAGCTGATAAGACGTGATCTCCGAAGCGCCAATACTCGCGCTATAAAAGAAGCGATTGAGCGAAACCGGGGGTCAAAAGTCTTCAGCCAGCAATTAAATCGAAGCCATCTGACGAAGTTGACCACACCGGATGGTAATATCGTCTCTTCTAAGCCGGAAATTCTCGAGGAGGTTCGGCGCTTCTACGGTGATCTGTACACCTCAAAAGCACCGCGTCCATATCGAGACTCGGGGGATCCTAGGGCCACACTTATCCGCCACTTTACCGAAGACATGCCAGAGATCAGCCAAGACGAGATTGCGTTGGCTTTGAAGCAGCTTAAAAATGGAAAAGCCCCCGGAGAGGATGGAATTACAACGGAGCTCCTAAAGGCCGGTGGAAAGCCAGTGCTTGAGCGACTTAAACGCTTGTTTGATTCCGTTCTATTCTCGGGGAGAACTCCAAGGGCGTGGGGCAAAAGTGTCGTCATTATGTTCTTTAAAAAGGGAGACAAAACCCTTCTGAAGAACTACCGACCTATTTCTCTTCTGAGCCACGTCTATAAGCTGTTTTCCAGGGTCATAACAAATCGTCTCGCGCGAAGACTCGACGAGTTTCAGCCCCCTGAGCAGGCCGGGTTCCGAGGGGGATATGGTACCGTGGACCACATACATACAGTGAGGCAGATTGTACAGAAAACCGAAGAGTATAATCTGCCCTTATGCCTGGCGTTTGTGGACTACGAGAAAGCCTTTGATACTGTCGAAACCTGGGCTGTTCTGGAGTCCTTGCAACGGTGCCAAGTCGACTGGCGGTATGTTCAAGTGTTGAGAGATCTATATGATGCTGCCACTATGGTCGTTCAAGTACAGAACCAGCAGTCTGAACCTATCCACCTGCATCGGGGCGTAAGACAGGGGGACGTTATTTCCCCCAAACTGTTTACTAATGCTTTGGAGGATATGTTCAAGACGCTGCGCTGGAAAGGCCGGGGCCTAAATATTAACGGCAAGTATCTCTCACACTTGAGATTTGCAGATGACATTGTAATCGTGGCTGAAACCGTGCAGGACTTACAATATATGCTGAACAGCCTGGCTGATTCCTCTGCTCGCATCGGACTCCGGATGAACCTACAAAAAACGAAGGTCATGTTCAATGAACATGTTCTCCCGGAGCCGATCACCATCAATGGATCTCCTCTCGAGGTTGTTCAAGAGTACGTCTACCTCGGGCAAACTATCCAGTTCGGTAGAAACAACTTCGAGAGGGAGGCTCGTAGGAGGATACAGCTTGGCTGGGCAGCGTATAGGAAACTCAGTCGGGTATTCTCGTCAAAGATACCGCAAAGCCTGAAGACAAAAGTCTTCAATGAGTGCGTCCTACCAGTGATGACATACGGAGCCGAGACGTGGACACTTACAGTGCGACTGATCCACCAATTTAAAGTCGCTCAGCGAGCTATGGAAAGGGCTATGCTTGGAGTCTCTCTGAAGGATCGTATTCGAAACGAGGTGATCCGACAGAGAACTAAGGTTATCGACATAGCCCAAAGGATTAGCAAACTTAAGTGGCAGTGGGCAGGTCACATCTGTCGAAGAACCGATGACCGATGGAGTAAACGTGTTCTAGAGTGGAGACCACGTCTAGGCAAACGTAGTGTAGGGCGCCCTCCAGCTAGGTGGACTGACGACATCCGCAGGGTGGCTGGCAGTGGTTGGATGAGAAGAGCTGAACATCGAGCTCAGTGGCGTGCAATTGGGGAGGCCTATGTCCAGCAGTGGACGACAACAGGCTGATGATGATGATGATGATGATGAGAAAAATCAAAACTAGGTATTAAAATATTATATTCCTTTCCCTAATCTAGCCATGAGTTTTAATTCTATATTTGCCAGTTTTACCACATTTATATGTACCCAAAAAACTTATGATGCACTTTGTTCAAATAAATTACATTCTTTATTTGTTATGTTTATTAACTCATCAAATCCCAAGTGAATGCCGGCTTCATGCTTCTACCATTCTTCTATTATGTATTATTGAATTATCACAATTTAAAGGTGGAATTTAGAAATATACATATTTATTGACTAAACTGATCTAAGTAGCAGCAGCAGAACTTGTAATACTAAAACTCACCCACAATTTACTCAATGTTATTGTTATAACAAGATTATAAAAGTACCTACAACAAATATTCAAGTTTAATTTAATTTAATCTGGCAATGGCTAGTAAGGCATTCTGAAACAGCCCTTAATCTATTCATATTTTATTGTATTATATTATGTAACTTTATAAAGTATTTTTAACATTTTTATAATATTGTGCAATTTTAAGATTTAAATTTTTACTTGTTTTAATTAACCTTGACATTCAGAATTTATAGATGTTGTTTAGGCAGATTTTAAAATAATATACTTGTTTAAACCTGTTGCTTAGGCTGAAAATTATGCCTATGGAGTTGCTTTAAAATCAACATACTAACAGAAAGCTGTCTAAATAAACAATACTGTATTCATAATTTATTAATTCAAATACTTGAAAAGCATATAAAAAATGATCCAAATACTTACTGATAGGATATCCCAGAGCAAAGTCATTGCTTTGTGTGCAAAATATTGCAAATATTCCTGCTCTTCCCAAATTCAAGGGTTTGGATACCAGCATAGTTACAATCATTACAGCAAAGAATACCATGCCTTTTGCAAGCAGTATTGCACCAAGAAAGGTCCAATTTACTGTACTGAAGTCTAATTGGGCAAGGGACAGAAATATTAGAGATGGCAATGCAAAAGTGCCTACAAATGTGGCAATGCCCTTTGATTCTGTTGCTGATACTACATTGAGACGTCCAGCTATGTACCTAAAATGTTAATAGACTTTCATAAATTGTTTACAATAAAAAAAATATGTTATGCATACTGTTTTAGGACAGTAATATTTAGTGTAAAATATTATTAAAACTTGTGATATTAAACAACTTAAAGGTGAAAAAAGAGATTTATTGAAATAAACCATCAACATATTATGTTAGCAGTAAATAGCTGCATCCATAAGAACTTAAAGTGTCATATTAGCAAAATATTACTGACAAAAATACTCACACCCCATAACTAGATTTAACTCAAATTAAATTGTATTTAACATATTTAAATTGACATAGGGTAATAAGTCATAATCAATCTACTAAGTACCTAAACACCGGAATCAATGCATAATTCATTAAGTATGTTTTATTTTCTAACAATATAAAATAATAAAGAAGATTTATACAGATATTTGTTTTAATATCAATACTGAATTAATATACCACAAAATTATTTTATAACATTATATAGGTATATATAAAAATATCAAAAACTTACCCGCATAAAATTATAGTAAAACACTGGAATAACGCTGGATACAAGTTATCTGTAGCATCCTCAAATTCAACAAGTACAACTTGATCCATATTGGGTATTGAATGATTTAATTCCAATTATTAAATTAAATGTGTAGTCAACAAGTCACACTAATTACTTTTTTGGTGCAATAAGTAAATTCACGATAAATTCAAATAATTCTCGATATAAAGTGTGTTTTTTTTCCAATTAACAATTCACAAAACTAACATTGTATGCACTGTTGAAACCGGTGTAATCAAAGATATTCAAATAGCTCTGTTTATATGCTAAGAAACCGATGCATTTTTGATAAAATTACTCTGTGATTTCGTACGTATGCGTCGTTATCGCGGTTCAATACAACTCAACGCGAATAAGAAATCTATTTGGAAAAGACATTTTAGTGACATTTGACAGCATACGAAACTCGACTTCTTCTTTTTTTTCTTGGATTTTATGGCCTGGATACAAGTCCTTTAAGCCAAGAAACTCGACTTTGACACGAACGTTCACAGATTAGCTATATACTAGTCAGACGCAAAGAGGCAAACATTGCATGAAAGTACCATGGAATGGGAAATGGAAGATGAAAGACTGGACTGGAGGCACATAGACAAGGTACGCGTAGCCAGGTGATATTCTGTAATGTTGCGTTGTGATTAATTAATCACATAAGTAAAACAGGGCCATGTCATATTATCGGAACCACAGCATTTATACATGTGCACCTCTGTCCACATCTGCGAAGATTTTTTAAAGGTGCAAATGATGGTGCAAAGGTGCAAACGCAATATGATCCTTTCAGATTCCATTTTAGGGATCCACAAAGGCGTATGTAAGAGATATTCGTGTGCGATAATACCGTCCATTTCCATTAGGTCGTAGCATGATGTCTTATAGCCGTGCACACAAAAATAATTACTTAATTCGAATTATTAGTTCGGGAGATTAGCGCGTTCAAACAAACAAACAAACACTTCAGCATTATAATGTTATTATTAAATAAAAATAAGTATGAGTTAAACATAAAGAAGCTCGTGTATCTGTTTATACATGTTTTGTCTTCTACTTGTTTACAAAACATTAAAAATGTAAACATATTTATAATAACTCTGAAACCTTTTGATAACGAGAATCGGTTATTTAGAATACTATCCCAAAGGAGACTACAAAACTTGACAAAACTTTCTTGCAACTGAAAGCCATTTTTAATTAATATTTCTTCAGATACCAAAAACATTATAGTATGCAAATAATTATAAAAAATTTGGATGCTCTAAAAACGTATTAACTTAATTTAACTTTGTCTCATCGGCTTCACTGAAACATCTCGTCGTTTTAGCCGAATTTGTTTGTTAGGCAAAAATATTCTAGTAGAAATTTATTTTTTTGAATATTTTCGCTTTTTCAATTTTTTTAGTTCTAATAAAATAAGTATTGGATTACTGGGCCTGGATTATTATATATTAAATACTGGTGCCATTACTTAAGATAATAATAAGAATATTTAATGAGATAGAACACTCATAATCTATTACTAACCTTAGTGCGTTTTTCCGCATAATGTTTTTATCGACTTCACATATTTTTGTCTATATTCGATCTGCTACCAATCTTTATGTCTGTAGCAATTAGATATAAATACCTAATTGTAATTAGGTTCGAAAACGTTTTTGATATGCTTATTTTGTAATTTAATTATACTGTTTTTTTAGTTGCCGCAGAATCCTACCGGAAATCTTCAGAATTTAACATAGACAATTTTTAATTGGCAACACTGGATTGGGTCAGATTCCGTTTCCGGTCGTAGCCATTATTGAGTTGTTCGTTCGCCGGGTCTGAGAAAGGTCGCTAGTGAATGAATAAAAAATAATTATTTTAAATTCTCTCTAAACGAGAGGTCAGTATATTGTGTTTATCTTATTTAGGCTACTGATTTCGTATTTATTGTATTTATTTTACTTAAACTCTGTGAATATCATCACCTTGTTCCAGATACCCACTCAAGCGATCACCACCTCATAAGACCAGAGTAAGAATCCTAAAGGAGCAACATGCAGTACAACGGATTCCACAACCAGCATCCGATGTAAGTATATAGAATAATGCCATAGTTAAACCCTTCTAAAAAAATTCTCACGGTATTGATCGTGTCTACCCATACCTATCATGGGCGGCCATTTTGTGTAGTGCATTCATTCTGCTCAGCTGATAATGAACGCAACCCACATGAAAAATCAATAATCTCGTTTTCTAGAAATATCAATTTTTCTTATAGATTTCATGTTTTTTTATTGTCAAATGTTGTTATAATCAGTTGCTTATATCTGATTGACTAAATTATGTATATTCATTCACCCATCTTGAATACTTGTCTTAGCTAATTTACCAGGGCTGTTCACGAGGCGTTGTTTCGAAACAAATTCTATTGTGAACTTAATTTCGATACATCTTTGCGACAAACAATGAAATAAAACTGATCAAATCCAAAATCATGCATTTAAGTATCTATGAATGTGCATCAAATTATTGTTTCAAGGCTGAACTACCTATGTACAATTTCTCTACCTGCCTACGTACCTACTACTAGTCTACCTATTAATCAAAGAAATATGTAGTTCGATATTCATTTGGTTGATTTGGTGTAGATAAAAAAGCATTTAACGTTTTAATCTATAAACAAATAAACAACACTTAATCCTATTGGAAATGCAATGTTTCATGAACACATCAACTACTACATTGTAAATGTACTGGAAATTAAATGAGGTGTACTTTCACTCAACAGCAGGTAGGTATATACTTGAGAGGGGGTAGGATAGCCAGTTTACTACTAGTAAAATTTTGATGAATATACATAATATATAGAAATATAATTTTGTTCTTTTATAAAGAAATATCTTAAGGTACACTATGTAACACCAATCTAAACAAAACCAGTTAAGTAAAATCACACCTTTTATTACTTTTAAAACATAGTCAGTTCATACTGAATTTTTCATTGATTTTATAGGTATGTAGCAATGTGTATGTGTGCCATTACTTAAGCAATATTATATTTCAATGTAACATTATTGTTTTATCTTAATATTTACAAAAACAAACCAATAAAATGCAATCACACCATAACAAAGAGCCCAGAGGGTTTTGATAGTACACCCTCTTATGTAATAGGGACTTGTAGCTTGGAGGTGGGTGTGTCCTGCTGTTAAACTGGGTCACTATTTCTCTTCAATTATTAACAAAAATGAACAATTGCAGTAACAAATTAAAGCTTCCTTCTAATTCATTAGGTATATCAAATATTTCTCAAGGGAAGTAAAATAATCAAACTGTTTTTGAGGTATAACTGCATTACACCCAGGGAAATATTCATTTAGTTGATATCATATTATGCAAGTTTTATAATGGCAAATACAGGTGATATGACAAGGGATTATAATAAAAAAAGATATTCTATTTGTCAACCTAGCTCACCAACTGGAATATTACATGTCAATAGTATGTGTGGGTAGTTATGTACCTACATTTATTGTGTTACAATTGCACTCAATGTAGGGCCAGTTAGTCCTTTGTGAACTTAAATATATGAAAGTAAAATACTGGTCGAGTGATTGTTACTAATACTGATAAATGAAAAGGTGTACTTAAAAAACTTCACAACACATCATCAGCCTATAAGTGCCCACTGCACAGCTAGGCCTCTTCTGAATCTTCTCTGACACAGAAAGTTTGACCAAAAATTAATTATCATGCTTGCTTAGTGTAGGACTGGTGATTTCAAACTTCTAACAACAGAGTTTCTTATTTTCCTTGACCATTTGTCAGTGGTGTCTAAATAATAATCTATATATTATAGAAAGTACTCATATTTCAGGAAAGTCATTTTGGTACCCGTCAGGTTTTGAACCTACTCACATCCATGGGAAGTGGTTGCTTTAACCTCTACTTCAGACTGCTCATTAAATGATTTGTTATATAAAAAGCTAGCACTAATAACATTTTACATTATTGCTAGTTTTCAACTGACACATCAAATTAAAAAAAAAACTTTTTTGTGTCACACTCACGCTCTGTCACACTAAATCAGGTGCAAATGAACTTGTACCCAAGCTAATTTGCACCTAAATTATTTAAAACATATATTTAATAACTTTCAGTTTCAGACCTCGACCAGACCGGAATGAACAATTCGGTAAAGTACCATTTTTCAATGGAATGGATTTTGGAGGACCTAAAAATTTTGGACCCAGAAATATGGGAAACAAACCCAATTTTCGGCCCAGAAATGACTTCAATGGAATGAGAAATGAATATCACAAAAATGAAAATGGTGGCAACCAAGGTGATTTTGGTGGTCCAAAAGACTTTAACAAGATGAAGAACAATTATAACAATCAACCCTTAAAGAAAAATGATTATGATGCTGATAAAGGCGCAGGTGGAAATATGCAGTTTTATGCCAACGGCAAAAATGATTTTGGTGGACCTAAACAAGGTTTCCCCAAAAATAACTTTGGCCCTAAAAATTTCAACAATCAAAATGGTCAACAAAGTTTTGGTCCTAAAAAAGTTTTCAACCCTAACAACATGAACCAGCAAATGGGTGATTTCAATGGAAAGCAAAGAGGCAAGAAGACCAAACACCCTGGAGATAGCTTGGTAAAACCCATGTGGGATTTATCACAACTTGAGCCAATTCAGAAGGATTTCTATAAGCCTCATGCCAATGTAGAAGGCCGTTCAGATGACGATGTTCAAAAGTTCCGTGTTTCAAAGGAAATTACTGTCAGTGGCAACAACATTCCGCGTCCTAATCAAATTTTCGATGAAGGTAACTTCCCTGATCATATACTGAACACAATCAAAGAACAAGGCTGGGCTGAACCGACTGGCATACAAGCTCAGGGTTGGCCAATTGCTTTGTCTGGCCGTGATATGGTTGGCATTGCTTCAACTGGGTCTGGTAAGACTTTGGCATACATGCTACCTGCTGCTGTTCATATTGTGCATCAACAGCGTATTCAGAGGGGTGATGGTCCAATTGCTCTTATTCTTGCCCCTACTAGGGAATTAGCTCAGCAAATACAATCTGTTGCTCAAAGTTACAGTGCACAGGGTTGCATTAGAAACACATGCTTATTTGGAGGATCACCCAAGGGACCCCAAGCTAGAGATTTGGAACGAGGTGTTGAGATAGTAATTGCTACACCTGGGCGATTGATTGATTTCTTAGAACGCGGTACGACAAATCTGCGTCGTTGCACTTACTTAGTTCTGGATGAAGCAGACAGAATGCTGGACATGGGTTTTGAACCACAGATACGTAAAATTATTGAGCAGATTCGTCCAGATCGCCAAGTCTTGATGTGGTC